TGAGCTTCTGTAGGAATATTACTGATAGTGATAGTACTCTGAAATCCATTAGATGTAAATTGCCCTGATTTTGTATTACTTATTGAATCATTATAGAGTAATAGGTTTTCTCACATAAGCACTAATGATGCTTTATCATAGGGATGCAAATTTCCTTTCATAAATAATATATAATGAAATATCTTTTACATAATAATAATGTGATTATGTTAGATTGAGCATGTAGTCTTCGGACACAGTGGGCTTCATGCAGGAAGTGAAAGATGGAAAAGCTTCTGTTGTCTTTTGTTCATAACCACGTTTTGTTCTCACACGTATTTCTGAGATTCACCAATGGACCAACTTTCAGAGAACACTCAATATGATGACCAAAACCTTTTTACAGTCCACAAAATGTACAACACGAGGAAACAAGTGTTACATTTGAGGAACATAAAAATGCATAAATATCCTAAAATATCATTTAGATGATTACAGACTAAATGTAATGATTAGATTATTAAATGTGTGGGTGAAGGAAGCCCTAATGGTCCGGTGATACTTATTGTGAGCTCCTGAATGGCCTGGATCCTGCCTTGAGATGCTCTTTGATTGTCCTGTAATGACATTACTGTCACTCTGGAACACATGTTTACCTTCTTTAGGTTCCTTCGCCTGAACCACATCCTCACGACTGCTGAAGTTCTTCTCCTTCGTTCTCCTTTGCCTTGTTGGGGACATCGCTCCATGTTCTTGTAGGTGTGATGACTATTTTCGCAAAGCACCACATTGGCCGATGTATATATATAGTGTTTTGGGGGTGTCTGCTATGCCACTAATAAAAGACCCGTCCACACGCCTAAATTCATGATCTGGTTGGATTTATCATTCACATAGTTGGTTAAGGATGTTTGGTGTGTCCGGAGTGGACTTTGCTTCTATTCTCTCATGAACATTCAGTGGACTGTTGGTACATGAGGCCGAATAAATACCTGTACAACAAAATGCAGGTTGGCATCTAATAACACTATATTCAAACGGCACCGTACTAATGATACGAGATGATATTTCAATGATGTAACTATAACATGTAAATGGACAGAAATGGGTAAATAGTATTAACTGCAATAGGAGTCTAAGTGATACAACAGTGTAAAAAGCAAGATGTGTGTAAGTTGTACAGTGAGGTTGAATACAGCCATGTAAATGTTGTTTAAATATAAACATATAACTTAAAAGACGTGTAAATGAAGATGGAAATGTGGATATCTGTATTAGAACCACATCGTAAGATTCGGACAGTGTGCGGCACTTGAATTAAGAGGCCTCCTCTGGTAGTCTGTTGCAACGCATCATGAAGACCATTATTCTTATCCCGAGCCACAGTTCACATAAAAACAAAATCAGGAAAATTATGTATTCTTAATTAGAATTAATGTAGCCTAAAAGAAAGACTGCGCTGCTGCGTCTCACTCAGGTTACCAAGCAAAGGAGGAGGTCTATTTATCTGTTTCTTGTCTGTGGCTGTCTAGTCACCCGGCCACATGCTCCATCATGGTTTAAATATTCATAGGCCAACCTCTGAATATGCATGAGGCTCACATTAATATTTATGAGCTTCACTTGTTGAAGGTGTCACTCGATCTTTTGTACACACTTGCAGACACAGACATTTGCACACGCTGATCAAAGGCGATAGCCGTGTCCACGCGGGCAGATTCATAAGCGGTGGCGCCGGGTTCTTCGGAGCTGTGATGTCATGGTAATTAATAATAATAACACAACATAATTTTAATTCACGTGGGCTCCTCTTATCAATCAAGCAACGTACATACAACTAGTGACTAAGTGGTGACTAATTGGAGTTTATTACGACGTTAGAAGTCCGTACAGCCCGCAACCGGAACAAAAGATTGATCCTCTTCCTGTTCAAGTTATAGCAATAATAAATAATCATAATGTATTTTGTTTACGACGCACTCTTCATCAATCTCAAAGTGCCACAGAGCCAGCAAAAAACAAGTTAAAACATACGTTAAGCATACTTAAAACAAAGTAAAAACTATTAAAAACACACTAAACAACAGTGCCCTCATTATTCCAAAGCTGTTACAATGTACAATTAACATGGACTTCCCTGAGTCAAAGCCTGACATGTCTAGTGCCCGTGTACGTTTATTTAAGTCCACACAGCAGTTTAACACTGGCAGTGTAGTGTTAAGAATAATGCGTTGGTAGAAAAGGATTCGATAGCATGTGGATTTAATTCCTGCGTGTGCCAGAAGAGACCCTGAGTTCACCCTTCCTGGCCTGGACGAGGGACGCTCCACTCCCAGTTCCAGTAAGACATCGCTTACTCTCAGTGAGGCTCTGGGACGGATGTAAATGCATGACAAACACACACACGCACACACACCCCTACACGCACACAAACAGAGTCAGCTGTGCTCTTTCTAATGAGTTGTCTTTATGTAACAAGCCACAACAGTAGCGGTATTACTGTGCATTCGCAACGGGAAGTGAGCTGAGCGCCACAGAGTCTCTGTCCTTTGAACACACATGCCAACCATAGTGCTAGAAACCAGCAGACAGCAGGTGTGTGTGTGTGCATGTGTGTGTGTGTGTGTGTGTGTGTGTGTGTGTGTGTGTGTGTGTGTGTGCGCCATTCTGCAGGACAGATTTGAGATTATATCCACACCAGTTGTCTGTGGATGATTCCAAATTAATTTAGCTGCATTTGTTCCTTTTAAGTAAATGGATGATCATCCGAACACGACAAACGTGTGTGTGTGTGTGTGTGTGTGCGCGTGTTTGTGTGTACACAGCACGTCTGCTTGCTTTTGGATGACGCACATCCTGAGGCATGCTCAGTCGTCTCTGTAGTTTGTATAATATTGAGTGTCTTATCTTCACCACATGTGGCTAAAGTACATGTGTGCAGCAGCATCACCAAACCAGAACAGATGTAATACTGTGTTATTTACTTTTTGTTTTGATTTCAATAAAGTAAATTGAAATAAACTACTAGGTAAAATCAAAGTAGTACTAATTTAAAAATCACAATAAATGCAGTCATATGGGCCCAGGAGCAATGAACAATACATTTGATAAAACTCTTATATATATACTATATACTTAGTATATTTACCTTTAATAATGATTAAGCAATATGAGAGAATATTTTAGTTCCAAGAGTTGAAATCAGCGGTGATATTCCCAGAAATATTTAAAGAGCCTCTGGTTCAAGCTATTAACTACTTCAGAAAGTACAGAGCTGTAATTTCCTATCTTGGGACGAGAGGTGAAGCTGTGGAGTCGGTCCGCCTCATCCAGGGTGCATTCATCACAAATCGGAGAGATCTCGAGCGCAATTTTGTCTTTGAATAATGGAGTCTGAATGACTTTGAAATGAATGAGACGAAGAATTAATGGAACTGGAAGGAATCGGCTCCGGACTCGATGCTCCGATCTCCCCATAGATCAGTGATTTCAGTTTATCCTGCCATTAGGTCTTCTCACGTAGAAAAGCACCGCCTTTACGCGGCCTGTTTATGAGGCGGGAAGATCGGTGTAATCGAGGCTGCAGCTATCACTTCGCTTTAACACATGGCCTCGGTATTTTTATTAATGGAATGGAACTGGCTGTGATGCGGATATAAAGTTTTGTGACGTTCAACCAGATGCCGTCCACGGAAAGAGATATCTTATGACTTGTGTCTGCTGTGGTGAAACCAAAGATAGAAGACTCGGTGGCTTCAGCCTCAGACGGGCCCCATGGTGTTACACATGTTGTTTCTCCAGCAGAATTCTGGTCATATTTAGATGTACGATCTTAAATCCTGACTTGTTTATTCACCCGTTAGCAACACTGATGAAATGTATGTAAATATCCTACAGCAGACTATGCATTAATACAGCTTTGAAGTACTGGAATTCCAGTACCAGTAAAATAAATGCAAATTCCATAGTTAAAACCTCTGGTTGAATATACATTTTTACAATTAGATGTACGTAATGCGTTCCAATGCATTTTGAGATTCATTGAGGTATGGACAGGCAGGTGATAAAATGACCAGTCAGTTTGGCATCACGCCTGCACACAGCGTGGTAAAATCTCCTCCTCCACTGCAGCCTTTAAGGAAGGCGTACAAATGGAAGCTATACTTACACAGCACAGAACGTCTATGCGATTGATGTACATATGTGCTACATCCTAACATGAGCCGAGAGATTCAATGTTTTTGACTCTGCATCTTCATACGTCATACTTCATTTGACCATGAGAACTTCCTGTTTCTTCCTGTATGCATCAGAGCCCTGGAGGAGGCCCACATCCTTTTTGACGTAACACATAAAAAATATATATTACAGGTAAAACAAATCCTGCATTAAAAATAGCCCTTAGGTAAAAATACATTCATTATTAGAAAAATACACTTAAAGCATCGAACAGAAATCAATAATAGCACACTGGATGCTTTTAATCTTAAGCTTTTAAGCTTTGAATGATCTCACAGGCCTACTGTTGGTGGTCTAATCTCACACCCTGCAGCTTCTGCGTGGCTAATTGTAACGAGTTATGGACTGAAAAACCATCAAATAAATGATGGGGAAGTGAAATGTAGCCTGCGTTGTGAATGGCACCAATGTAACAGAGCAGGAAGTAGACCCAAGTTACATGCGAGTTTACCGGCGGAAGCCCACGGTCACAATGCGCGTACCGACTCAGACCTCTGAGACCGTATTTGGCGTCGTGTCCCCTCCGCTGCTGCATTCGGTTTATTGCAGTAATGTTTCGGTGGTAAAAAAAAGGAAATTGAATTGAGTTGAAGTGGAACAGAAACCGAGAGGGAGAGACGGGGACAGCGCGCGAGATGAGTGGGCCGTTGGAGGCTTTTGCTCTCGTGCATTCCTCGGGCGCGCGCGCACCCGCGCGCGTGTGTGTGTGAACGTGTGGGCGCGCGGCTCCGGGTTCAGAGTGTTGGTCCTCCTCCTCCTCCTCCTCCTCCTCCTCCACCTTCCCTACTCCTCCTCCCTCTCCTCCGACAGAGACCGGCAAAAGGCAAAGGAGGCGCAACGTGCGTCGCAGTCTGAAGATACCGGCAGTCGGTCGGTCGGCTCCACCGGAGGAAGACGTCACTTTACGGTAAGCTAACGGACGTCTGCGCGACCAACGGCCGATCCGCCGGGTGACGCTTTCTGCCCGTCGCTTTTCTTCTACTTTTGCGAAATGAAACCCGTATCCAGGTGAAGAGCGACGGCGATAAACGACCGAGACAAATATTTATAATTTAGCCGAAACTGTTGCTACGGTGACGGTTTCCAGGTGAAGAACGACGAGCGACGGCGATAAACGAACGAGAAAAATATTTATAATTTAGCCGAAACTGTTGCTACGGTGAGTCGCGTTTCCCCTCCGGATCCGTGATGTTAGCGACACCGCTGAATGAATAATAAACGGCCATGACTTTATATAACTAACGTCAATTAACTATATATTACCTATATGTCTTTTTAGCTGACCGAGTGTACCGTCACTTAAATGTTTAGTTCTAACCAGCTGTCCGTATTGCGACTCGTGTTTGGTGGTGCGATCGAGAGTTTTTAAGGCGATCCACACACACACACACACACACACACACACACACACACACACACACACGCACACACGCACACACACACACACACACACACAGCCTTTTCACCCAGTGCTTGTGTCGGATTTAAAGTCCCTTCGTGTCCGGTAGCTCTTGAGTTCACGTCGCGTGTCCTTGTCCCCCCCCCCACGGCGCGCCGCGCCGCGCCGTCCTCCCCTCGCGCAGCTGACAGCGCGGTGAAGTCCTGGAGCAGGAGGTCCACTCTCTGGCGCGGGGGTGTAAAAATAGCCCGGTGTGTGCCAGCTTAGCCCGGGTCACTGTAATGCGACACACACAAACACGCACGGCTCCCCTTCGCTTCTCGGCATGGGTCAGAGGGAAAGTCCCGTCCCGGGGGCCCCTCGGTCGTGTTGTCCCGTGTACGTGGGGCCGAACGGACGCCGCGGAAGTCGTGTGTCAACGCGACACCTGTTTGGTCGTCGCCGCCTCGCCGCATCCTCCGCGTGCGTTCGACGCCGTCGGTTGAAGGCTGAAGCTCCCGCGGGCCCCTTTTAACACCCTGAAAGTACACACCTGGCTCCGTGGTGTTGTGTGTGTACACACGCACACACACATGCCGCTTCTTTCCCCGCATCTTTGAGGTTTGCGTTCACAGCTGTCGCGCCCTCAAGTCCCCTCCGGTGATAAAGCAGCCCAGGTGCAGATGCCTTCAAAAGAAGATGTAACCTACATTTGTTCTTCTGAGTAACCTACTTTATTTCCTTCTCCGCTGTTCGGGGCTAAATAGCGGAGGCCCTTTTATTTAAATTCTCGGCCGTGCGCTGAAAGAAGATAAATCAATCAATCAAATATTTCATTAGCAAATTTAAAAAAAAAAGTAGTTTTAAAAATTTAAAATATTTATATGAATACGTGTATATATATTTAAAGAATTGTTGTGAAAACTACAGAACTAATAGGAAAAGGCAAACCTGTGCAGATTATGAAGTAGAATGCTTTGAGTTTGCCTCGAAGTTTTCCCATCATTATTTTAAACCAAAGAGACAGACTCTCTGAATAATTTTCTAATGACTCTGAGCTATGGGAGAAAACATAAAAAAACCTTCTAAATTCAGCTTCAACCTCGGAGACAAAACACAATCAGATCTGTGGCCCCAGGGTGCAAAGATTTTCTGTTTTTCCTTATGGTTTTCAAGTAGTGGTAGGGTGAAAAATCAGAGCAGAACGTCCTTAGGCATAAAAAAAAATTATGCTTCCAATGGCAGGATAATAAAGCACACATGGTACAATAGTAGGCAGTTAATGGGATTGAGTGCCGCTGATAATTACAGTGCTTGTAATCCAAGATAGATTTTTCATTGTTCTTAATTACAAACAGAAATAAATTGGGCACTTCATGTAACTAGGTTGAGCTGACAATGGCCATCTAAAGCAGCTTTGGGATATTTTCCCTCTGCCCTGCCTGTGTGTCAGTGTAGATGAGCCAGGCAGCTTTTGGCTGCAGAAAAAAGGTGTCCTGGTGAGTCGGTGGCTCTGAGGCTGCGGGCTTCGGGTGGAGCAGCAGATGGATGATGATGTAGCGGTATACTGGCGCTCCCTGCCTCCCGCCGCCATCCGTCACGCGCTAATGATCGTGTCACACCTTCTCCCCGGGCGGGCGGCCGCTTCTGCAGCGCTCAGCTCAAAAACCGGGGGCTCCGCTCAAACCCCCCCACCACCCCCGTCCACGGCCGTCGGCTGAAAAGCCTGGGGAGACAGACTGTGCCGCAAGCCTCTCCATCACTAATTCTTCTCTTTCCTCTTCCTCCATCGTCGTCGCTCACCCCCTCTTCACCTCTGGAGTCCCCGCAGACTAGTTCCTCGTCTCTCCTCATCCTCTGCTTCCCTCGCCTCCCATTCGTCTTGTTTGCTCCGTAGTGCATTTGCTCCACATCGTTCTCTTCCCTCTCTGTCCTGCTTACTCCACGTTCCCGCTCTCAGGCGTTGCTCTCGACTCACAGCTGTAGTGCGGCTCAATACCAGCTGGCTTTGTCTTATTTTATACACACGTCGTTCTTTGGTTGTTCTGATTAAAGGAGATGTGCCGTCAGTGTTTTCCTTGCCTCTCCCTTCCGTGTTGTCTGAGGTCAGGGTCGGTTTACACATTGTTTTGGCTAAAGGACAGCGCAGCAGGATCTCTGCCACAGCGCATATGGGAGTCTCCCAGGTTATTATGTCCTATGGATTGTTTATATATCTTTAGCTGTCAAATGCGCGTAAATAAAAAATAAAAAAAGATTTCAAACTTAATATACTGTTACGTTATCTTACTTATGTGGAGTATATCTTAAACCAACTGCACCATTATTGGAGTCAAGAATCACATATCAACGTGAGCATATTTTCATTATTAAACACTCAAAGAGATTTCAGGCGCCTCTGTGCCAAACTAAGGATATTTCTGCTGGGTGGAATCACTGCTGTTATGTATTGTGTTTCATTACTGCAGCGTTGAAAGTAAACACCACATTGGTCGCACATGGACTGACAGATCTTTTTTTTTAAGTGCTATTATCTCCTGCCGGGTGTTAAATAACTTTATTATGGGACTCGGTATCCTCTGAGGTTGTTATTCTGTCCCAGGTGTTACAGGAATAAGTGTCCCCCTGAGCGCTTAGTTACAGCGGTATGTGTCCCCACTGAATGCCTTTGGTCCTTTGGAGAAGATGGTGGAATGCCACTTCCTCTCTATGTGTGTATGTGTGAATGTGTGTGTGTGTGTGTGTGTGTGTGTATCTGTCCGTCTCTGTGGTCTCGGGCGATATTCTCCCCACTATAGGATCAGAGACTCAGCTTGGCATTGTGGGAATATCATTGCTGGTGGATCGCATGATCCTCTCCACAGCTGCTGCTTCTAAGAAAAGCTGGAGGACACACTTGTGTGCACACACATGTAAATACACAAGCCAACACCAAGTCTGAGCCCAGTACTGTGTGTGTTACCGGCACACATTTACAGTAAAGAAATTAAAGCAGCAATTAACTGTTGAGCCAGGAGATTATTCTGGAAGACTAGATGGAGGTTAACACACGCGCACACAGACACACAGGCACACACGCAAGCTTAGCTACTTGATGTCATTCCCAGGAGCTCGGCTTCGGCAGCTGTTTGATACGAGTGTGTGAGTGTTTGTGTGAAACAGTGTTGCAGCGTTTCTGTTGTACAATGACCGCTCACACTGTTTTGTCTCCTGTGCTTTTCGATCTCTTCAGGCTATTTTTGCATTGACCAGTAAAGAGGCGGCTGAGAGAGAAACAGCAGAGAAGGCAAGCACGGGCGGAGAGGATAATTGCATTTCTGACTGCCCTGTGGGAACATGGGATATATGACCTCATCATTCACCTGTGAGGCTCTCCAGTAAACAACTCCAAGTAGGTGGGAAAAGCACACACACACACACATTAACTCATGCAAATGCCCTAAAAGGTATTTTTAAAAAGCAGTTACATACAAAATTGTAGAAGTTCTGTTTGTAGACCCCCACAGCATCACATGTTTGTGTTTTGCGTGGTTTAGGAGGATGACTGAAGCCGCCGTAGAAAGTACCGATGTCCTCCTAAATTCCTGTGACGTGACACCGTGTGATGTCATCAGCTGCTCCACCCCTCCGCCATGTCCGTCCCCAAATCCCCCCAATGGGACGGAGGTCCAGTGTTACCATGCCTGTAAAAAGCTTGAGCAACAGGTGGGCGATAAAAATAAAGTGTACAACATTAATGAAAAACCACAATATATCCTCACTCCCTCCCTCACCCCTCTGACCTCTTAACATTCCCACTTTATGACAAATTGCGTCCTCACTTGCAGAAAAACTGTGACCAGGTGCAACCAATGAAAAAAGTCAAGGTAAGCTAAAACAATTCTGCCTCGTATTAATCATTCTTACATCTTTTCCATTGTACTGTGGATCTGTAAAACTGCTTGCTTGTGTTTGCATTTTAGGCAAAAGGAAAGTTAGTGCGGAGTATGGCTGTCTGCGAGGAGTCCTCACCTTTTGAAGAAAAACAGGTAACACACACAAACCCACAAACAAACATACCCAGATCCTCATCCACCTCGTAATCATCTACATCACCGCCTCACTCAAATGTTGTAATTAGTCTTCCATTTTTTAATATTCTTTCCATTAAGGCATCTCCAGACACAAACATTGCATCTAGCTGCCATGACAACGAGATAACTTCCTGTAACGAGGAAGAACAGGAGAACAGCACGGATCCAAAGAAAAATTCACTGTCCAAAGGTGTGTATTTGTGTGTGTGTGTGTGTGTGTGTGTGTGATTGATATCTCATAAAAGAGAGATGAGAGAAAGCAAATACAATGTAATAAAATTGAATTCAGTTCTTCAATTTGGATTTCTCCTGGGTGTTTTCAATATTGCAATGTGTTTTTGTTTTTTATTTTCGTTGACTTATAATACGTCCTGCTTGCCTGTGTCGCTCTCAGAGTCCAGCGTAGAGTACACCGACTCCACCGGCATAGACCTGCACCGGTTTATCGTCGACACTCTCAACAGCAACCCCAGAGACCGCATGATGCTGCTTAAACTGGAGCAGGACATGATGGACTTCATCACCAGCAATAGGTGTGTGTGTATGCGCGTGTGGGTGAGGAGGGGCGGGGGGGTGTTTGTAGGTGGGTGTGAAGGAGAGTACATAACCTTGGGTCCTCATTGAGCGTTCTACCTGTTTAAACAGGCTGAAATTAAACCCGTAGGCCTGCTGAATCCTATTAAAGACTGAATGTGGTTTTATGCTGATGTAAAATGTGTTTCTAGCTTATATATTATAATTCTGTCCATACAGCTCATTTTGTGTACTGATCAATATATTGAGGCAGTTATGTTGGTGTGGGTGTGTTTGAGCCACTGGGGATTAAATTGAACATGGGCCAAAAAATGCGACCAGTCTCAATCTACCTCCTTCTATTGCCTTCTTTGCAATCCTTCTCCTTCTCTCTCTTTCTCTCTCTCTCCTTCCCCCTTTTCCTTTGTTCCTGCCTCATTCTTTCTTTGGCTTCTTCTGTTTCTCCTTTTTCCTTCCCAATTTTTTTTACATTCTGCAATCCTTCCCGCACCTCAGTCCCTTCAAGAAGTTCCCTCACATGTCGTCCTACCATCGTATGATGGTCCATCGAGTGGCGGCCTACTTTGGCATGGATCACAACGTAGACCAGACGGGCAAGTCTGTCATCATCAACAGGACCAGCAGCACCCGCATGTAAGCTGGCAAATTGCTCCGCGGGCATGTATATCCTCCCCTTTTAGCGTTTACAATGAAGTAATGGCGGCTGTTCTTCTTGGGGGGGTTTTCAGACCGGAGCAGCGTTTTCTGGACCAGGTGCATAAGGACAAGAAAGAAGAGATCCACCGGTGGAAAATGATCCTGAAGAGAGACAACAGCTCAGACGAACAGGTCTGTCCTATTCTATAGCTCCTCTATAGCTGACGGTCTCCGTGGAATATCCTTTATAATTGACATTGATCGTTTTCTATCAGCGTTTTTGACCTGCTCTCCCTTTTTCTCCCCACAGAGCCGACTTCACCCTTTACGGGAGAAGCAAAGCAAGTCAATGGAGGAGAGAGAGGAGGAGTACCAACGAGCACGAGACAGAATCTTCAACCAAGAGGTGAGACAGGGAGAGGGAGAAAGGCAGACAGGCAGATATGACATGGAGACATATAAGAGACTCACTCATTTCTGCACTGTACTCTTACAGCCTGTCTGCTCCCAGGAGAGCGCCCATGCAGAAACCAGGTAACCTTGCCTACAGTACATTCTCTCCAAGTGCCGTTTCAGCTTTTTATATTTAGATGAGGACATTAATATATGTCTGCGTGTGTGTGTTCTGTGTGCAGGGCTGTGGAGGAGCACAATCCATCTGCTGAGACCCAGAGGAAAAGGCAGCTCTTCAGGTAGAGCCCAGTCTGCACAGATGCGTACTCATTTATCATCTTAATCCGGTCAGCTCAGCTGCAACAGGGCTTTTCAGAATCTGCAGCGGAAACAAAATGAAGACCTATATTTTCTTTTTTTTTAAGATGTTAAGATTTGATTTTTGGAAAACTCGCACACACTGAAGATAACTGAAGGGATGTTTTCACAGACTTTTACATGTCAGTCATTGTGAGTGGCATGCCAGCACGTGGGGAAAACACTTGTGTCCCCCACCCACATAAATGTTCTGCCATAATAAGGTTGTAGGATAATTCTGGATGTGTCTCGCAGAGGGAGCCGTGACAGCTCAGGCTCCAGCTGGACAGGGAGCAGCAGGCAAAGTAGCACTGAGACTGACTGTCGCTATAGCAACGACCCCCGACCTTGGAGCAGCACGGACTCTGATTCCTCCTACCAATGGACGGGTCCCGCAGCGAAACCCCGCCAAGCTGTCAACCATGGCTGGGACGCACGTGGTTCAGGTGCTTCTTTATTTTAATTTGCAGAGACTTTTCGTCTCTTCTCTGTCGCACCTCAAAGGTGTAAATTCAGTCGATCGAGGCAGAGACACTTCACTCCCCTCTATCTTTGTGCGAGTAAACTTATTAGCAGGTTTCATCAGCACACCACACTTGGGAATGACGCCGTGTATAAATGATGTCTGTTCCTTATCTAGCATCATCTAATTAACAAAAAGCAAGTTCTTCTGGTGTGAAAATCTCAATCCACGAGCCTTCACACCAGAGCTGTAAATCTTCACGCAACACCTCCGTTCTTATTTGCATATTCACGAAGAAGAATACATAATTACTAAGGTGCTGTTGACAGTATGTCTGAAGTCTATTTTCATACACATTAAAAACTTGTTTCCTGCATCCCTTAAAATTGATAGAACGATTAATAAGAAGCAACAACAATAAGACAAAATGCCCTGTAGACGTAGGGAGGGAAGGAGGACGCGGTGGCTGGTGTGCTCCACAGTAATCATCTGGCTTTGGCAACGGCAGTAATGTTCCCATGATTTTTAACTGTCCTCCTGTCAGCTTCTAGCACATGTGGGGGTAGAATGTTTAGTTTCTTTTAATCGGATTACGACGTTGAAATCTTTGTTTTGTACCGTTATAATAAAACTATTCCCCTGCTCGTCCTCTTTGTTTACTAATCCTTAATTCTCTGTTATTTCTCTCTCTCTCTCTCTCTCTCTCTCTCTCTCTCTCTCTCTCTCTCTCTCTCTCAGGCGCCATCTCACTTTTCAGACTGCCCCCCACTTGCCCCCTCTCCGCCTCTCCGCCCATCATAGAGGAGCCGGCTCCTAACTCCACCTACATCATGGTAAACGGGATCCCGCCGGGAAGCATACTAGTGAACCCACATACTGGTACGTAACACAAACACACACACGCACTCCCAAGATTACATACACAACTCATACACACTCGTCACACCTTTTGCCCTCTGACCTTTTAGGGCAGCCTTTCCTGAACCCTGACGGCACGCCTGCTGTGTACAACCCTCCTGACAGTCAGCAGCAAATCAGGAGCCAGACTCAGCTGCAAGGATCTCTGCCTCAGCACCAACCACAGCAGGTAGCGCACACACATACACTCATTTTGACATGTCACACACGACCAGACCGATGCCTATGGCTTGTGTCCTTATCTTTGTCCCCATGTGTGTGTCTCTCACAGGTGGTGCAGTACTCATCTGTCTCTTACACGGCTCCACAGATGCTGCCTGTCGCTCCATCACAGCCGTACACGACAGTATGTATCGCTGCACAACCGACACCTTCGGCACACACATGCGTGGTTACGTTGTGTGTGTGTGTGCGATGACCCCCTTTCTCTTGACCGACAGATTGAAGATCTCTCCTCGCAGTTCGCTCATGTAAGCTGTCAGTCGGCTGGTGAAGCCCCGCCCATCTACCCGCCCAGTCAGGGTTACATCTATGCAGCTCCTCCTCCTCCCAACCCCCCCAGCTACTGCCAGCCCTCACCCGCAGTACGGATACACATGCACTTTATATATTTTATCTTATGGTCATTTAAGATGCATCAAATATACTGTGTAAAAAAAAAAATATATATACATATATATTCTGCATCGAGCTTAAATTCTGGTTGGAAATTAATTTTTGACTAAAACTAGTATTTTTGATATCGTTTTTCTATAGTTGCCTGTGTATTATTACGGTCAGTACCCTACCTCAGCTCAGCACCCATGTAGGCCCGTCTCACCGAGCCAGCACATCCACAGCCAAGCAGCACAACCACCAGGTATTTCCCACCTCTGTTAGTTGAGTGTGTGTGTGTGTGTGTGTGTGTGTGTGTGTGTGTGTGTGTGTGTGTGTGTGTGTGTGTGTGTGTGTGTGTGTGAGTAGCGGACAGAGGCAGGCCGTGGCAGTAGAGGAGGGGGCCGTTACACTGTCAGAGATGTAGTCTGAGGGTCTCACAGTGAACCGGTCTCTTTTCCTGCTGCTTCTATTCGACCGTGACAAAAGACTCAAAGGAGGTGTTTTGAATTTAAAGCATGCTAATGAGTGAAAGTATTTGAACCCAGCTGGAGACAATCTGTTGACAGCTTCCAGACGTCGGTGTCCGTTAACTAAATAACTAAAATGACTGTCTATAATTAGACTTGACTCATAGCGGGCAACATTGGAGATGCAGATGATCACTGCAAGAATAATGGACATTAATTGTTTGTATTACCCAAATTGTGTTTTGTGAGAAAATCTACTATTACTATTGTATATCTCAAATATGATTCTTTTCTTGAAGTTTTTTTAATGTTGAATAAAAATAGACATTTCTTTAACTGAATGATTTGTTAATTCTGTATTCAGTCTTCCTCACAATTTCTTCTAAAACAACTTCCTTCCTCTACAAACTTTTTAATAATCAAATTGCAGGGATGAAATATGTTGTGAGTAAACTCTTGTGTAACTGTTGCGTTTTTGTGTTTGCAGCAGGTTACGCTGTGGGGGTGCAGCAGTCCTCCCACCCCCAGGCCCAGGCAGCGCTGGGCACCTACTCACCGATGGCCTCTAATCAGCGTAGCATAGTTCAGGTAAACACAGAACCCAAAGGTCCAATAACTCAACACCCTAAAGATGCTTTCTGTAGCAAATTCCTCACTCCGACTTTACTTTCTCTTTGGTCTGCAGGGAGGTGTTTCGGTGTCCTATCCCCAAAGTAAAGTTGTGACCGGGGTGGGTGGGGAGGCGGGTTACTGCTGTGTGATGCCCCCACCCTCCTCCCACCACGGCAGCTGCCACCCTTCCAGCTGCACCAACCTCAGTGCCCAGGCCTGGAGCGCGCAGTACTGACGATGCCTCGACGGTTAGAGAGATGAGATCCAAGTTCCTGCGTGAGCTCACGCGCATAACATCACACACACTTTTTACATAAACACCTTTTTTTTTTTTCACCCCTCCTCATCTACACCCGCCTTCCTTCTGATGATGCCCGAAGGGTATGCCGTTCACCCTCATTACAAGCATGTGTGCACACACACACACACACACACACACAACATACACCCGCTCACAGACAGAAATGTACCACTGTACCAAAGCTTAATAGTATTTATCTGCGCTGCTGTATTGAATGCATAATTTATATACACAAATGGAGTTTTATATTGATATTAAATTATATATTGTGTTCCGAGGAAATGCACTGTGTGAATAGAATAAAGTACTGTGTCTGGATTGACGATGTCACATTTTTATATAATCCTGGCTGTTGGTTTCCGATGATGTTGATGATGCTCAGGCGTGGCGAGAAACACACACCACCAAAGAAGATTTAAGGAGGACTTTCTGTTTCGCAACAGTATCACATGATAATCAAAATGACGTGCACGCTGCTGGAAAGCAGAGACACGGGTTGTTAACCTACCACTCATTAATGAGAGATGAATGTCATTAAATGCCTTAATGTCGGAATAACTAACAAGCAAATGAAAAATGTTGCATGAACGTGGTTGATCATTAAGGGCCTTCAGTGTCAGCTTCTCTGGATATTATTGGGAGACTAAGAGGCTCACCCGGTGGGAGTTCTCATGCACTCGAACAAACCAATAAAAGCACTGATGGGATTCTCACCGAGGCTTTAGCACCCCCTCCGCTGGAGGACTCATAACCTCATGGCCGGTTACTTAACCACTTGCTGGTTTGCTCGTCAGTAGGCACAGATGGAGGGATGCAACTAAAAATGGTGCATTCCAGCTTCATCTGCGGAATATTCCTCTAATAACGGCTTTGCAGATTTAGCAAGAAATTACGTTTGAAACTGGTAAGAATTTGGAAATGTTTGCAATAAAAAACTGAATTGGTTATTAAAAGTAATGTCATGTTATTTCTACCCGTGGTATGGACTTGTGATCTGGGCCTTTTCTCCCGGCATCACGTGTACATGTCGCAGCAGGGACAGCACAGGTGTTGCTGATAACGTTAACAATGGCTGTGCTGCACCGGCGTGTCCCAGTTAACCATGAGGTTCGACCGCCGACACCTCGATAACGGAAGCAGCGAAATGAAACTCAGCTGGGGTTCGTTTTGTCATTTTCACCTGTGCTTTTTCCTTCTGGGCCTCTGAAAACGCCATTGATTCACATCCAACTAAATAGCATTGCATTATATAAAAGGCTCAATCTTTGAACTCCTCCAGCATAGATCTTTTACACGACTCCAGAACACAAACTAGCAGTAGCTGATAAGTCAATGTGTGTCATTGTATAGAGGCTGTGTAACTCATTTTGTACAGATTGATTCATATTCCGCGCAACAAATTCACTGGAACGCACTATCCATCATCCGCACGAGGCTTTAAAACTAAATGTAGGTTTCATACCCGTGGCATTGAGTGCAATATTCACAGAAACAAAGCCGGCTCTATTTTAGGTTTATCGTCTAAATTCAGACACATAAAGAAGCGGCGCTGCAGGTTTCATGATCTTTAATAAAAGGCACATGTACAGCCATAGTGAGATGAGTGAGTCCACTGGCATAGAGACGAAGCATTAAAACACAGAAATACAGGAAGTAGAGGTCAGGAGGAGAGAGATGTATCCGCTTAACAGTAGAATCTACTTAAGTTATATCTTCTCGTTGTCGTTCAAATGAACACTTATGTCATCGTGGTGAGGTAAAAAAAAAAAAAAAAACGGAAAACATCCCCCCTGTCTCAAACACACAGACACACACACACCATCCATCACCACCCAAACTCTGATATCCAGAGACGTCTCCAGAGGGCCGTCGAGCTCAGAACAGACGAAGAAGTCCAGATGGTCCCGAGACACTTCGGGTTGTCGACTCGTCCTTCGAGTCCATCCATCTAGTGCACACATCTCACACTGCTGATGGCATCCTTATTTCATATATTTCACAAATGCATCCGAGCAGTACCGCTGGACTGGGAAACCCTGGTTTTCTGTAGGTCAGTTAGTTTGTGGTCATTTAATTTTTTTACATTGATTTCTGATATTTTTAACATTTTGATTCTATTTAAAAGAAAAGGATTCTGCAGTCTTGCTCTCATGTTAGCGATAAAATACATGTTTAGGGATACAACTACTGTAGCAAGACTCGATCTTTGGAATCGATAAACAGGTATTTTTAAATATGAATATTATTTTACAAATACATATAAAAAAATCCGTCTCACTGCAGATCCGTTCGATTTTTCTTTTAAAGCCTTGTCACACACACACAGCGGGACATTTTCTTTCAGAAGAAACGTTTCAGTGCTCTCTGCTGGGCAAACTGTACCACTGACAGTTTCTGAATAATCTCCAACATATTTCTGTATTTCTGTACTTTCTGTACTGTATTGTTAGTTATTGACCCACATATACACAGATACTGATATAGATGCACTAAGTTGACCTGGCTAATTTATGAATCCAGCTTTAATGACTGAGAACGTCGTGCTCTATACTGAAATAATAACGGTGCAGGGTCTCTAGTCATGCAGGACCCAGCTGTTTTGAGTGAAATCATTAAATGCCCAAAAAGCAGCTGACGCAAAGTGAACCTGGGTTTTTTTGGGGGGGGGGGGGGGGGGGGGGGTGACATTCTGCTGCTAATCCAGCCGTGACTTTAAAAGATTGTTTTGTTTCTGACTGTTTACACACTCACACAGGCAGCCAGTCACCCGTTAAAACACAAAATAAAATAAAAAGTTCACAGGTACTTAAATATTAAGGGTTAAGAGAAATAAAAATGGTATTAGTGTTGCAGGTTAAATATAACCTCTGCTGGAGGAAGAAGTCGAAGAACTAAAATATGCATGCAGCCAGGCCATCTCTCCTCTTGTTGAAAGGTAAAAGGGGGTCGCCGGGGTAACGCTTTCTTTCCTCTGTTTGGGCAAAGCTTCGAGACACAAACTGAACACTTTTGTTTGAACAGAAAGAGAATGTTGATCTGAATCAGGCATAAAGTGGGCAGAGGTAAGGGGCAAACACACACACACACGCACACGCTTTACATCCGCTCACATGTCCAAAGATCAGCTTACTCCGTTTTCACATTATCGCATCTTTGGGGCATTTCAACATGAGATTGGGACGCACTCCAGAGTCAGTCACAACTCTCTCTCTCGCGCTCTCTCTCACACACACACACATTTACCCAACACGTGCACCCGGAACATCCTGCTTAGTTTGGTGTGTGTGCTACCTTTGGCTGCCGGTGTCAGGGGGTGAAAGGTCAGACTCGACCCGGCCTCAAGAGAGCCTGCGCAGGTACACACCAACCGTCCCAGAACCACATTCCTTTACCTCAAACCGGCTTTGCAGGTTCAACTTCACCCCTCAACCCCGTAGCAATGCCCACCCATCTCCATAGCAACTCACAGCTCCCCGGGCAAGGGGTCTCACAAGGAGGTAAGTGTAATTAGTGGTGTGTGTGTGTGTGTGTGTGTCTTTAGGCGTGTGTACCCTCCGTGAATGTGTGCGTGAGTATATTTGTGTATTTGAGTGAGTGTGTGTGCGTGTGTGTGTGTGTGTGTGTGTGTGTACGGGTTAAGAGGTATCAGTGGTTCAGTGGTGTCTCTCTTTAATCTGAAATCCCTCCACTCTCTCAGCCCCTCGCCCTCCATCACCCTTCTTCTTCCTTGTCCATTCCATCTTCCTCCTCCTCCTCGTTCCCTCTTTATTTTTGGACTTGGAAGATGAACAGGCGCAGGTTGATGTTTTTGGCGGCCAGCAGTTTGTTGCACTCCACCGAATCGGAGATGGGCAGCGGCACGTAGTCGGTCTCGTTGGCGTCGTTGCAGAAAGAGTGGTGGTGGATGACCGGCTTGATCCGCACGTCGTCGTACGGCCCCTTCAGCAGCAGGAAGGAGCACTCCAGGGCCGAGTTTACCTGCAGAAACACACCCAACGGCTGCTGACTACAGGTGCACAAAATATGCTGTTATTGATTGTTTTACATGTTTGATGGGAATCCCAAAGGAAGAAAGTGGTTAGTGGTCTATTGGGAGCCGATGCTGATGTAATAATCACGCTGCACAGCCATTGAAAATGTTTCATCATCAGTAACCAAAATAATCTTACCCTGAAAACTCAAGATATGTCTGTGACATGAATAAGACACCAATACCGGCGTTTGGACAGACATACACAAGAGCAGTATGTGGAACTTCAGTGATTGGTCAACTTGGTGTAGATGGATGTGTAAAAAAATCACGGGCCGCTTGGATTTCAGCCAAAAACTAGCTCCTCAATTCTTAGTTAACTGGTCATAATTGGTCTGTAACAACATCCATTGCTGAAAGCCACTACAGCCTAACCAACACGGACAGGCAGTGTGTGTGTACCTTGCTTTTAAGGATGAGCTGGAAGGAGAGCGTGCGCTTGCAGGACAGGTTGGGGTTGCGCTCCGAGTCGTTAACGCGGGCCTTCAGCACCCACGTCTGGTTGAGGACGGTGAAGCGCGGGGTTTCGTAGTACAGACGGGTGATGAAGTCATCGGTGCGGTACGGCCTGAACTGCACCTCTGGATGCACGAATAAGTGGAGGCCAGGATTTGAAACGGGGAAATGGCTGTTACTTGTCAGGGATCCACTGGAATGTTATGCTCAAGTTAAAGTAACCCAGGGGTTCCCAAACTTATTCTGCTAGGGCCGCCCTTTGAGGATACAGCAACATTGTAAGACACCCCGCCCCCTGCACGCTTTACACAATAACTATTTGTCTGATTTGTCCCTTTTTTTGTTTTGCATGTACCTGTAAACCCGATCTTTTCGTAGCAGAGCAGGCTGAAGATGCTGTTATAGAGCTGCATGTCTCTGCGGTGGTTCTGGTCCATCTCTCCCAGTATTCCCATCAGCTCTGTACCAGTCTTAGTGGGATGGGAGCACTCACTCTCATGTGCTGGCAGCTCGTGGAACGGCCCCTGCCATGGGCAGCCAATTCTCTTGTACTTACACTGTGTCACCCTGGCAACATAATGGTGAGTGTGAGTTAAAAAGACCACAAAGGAAAGAAATGGTTTTAAATAAATGGGATCTTTACAGAGGCGCTTTTTGATGAGTACATGTACTCTACTGCAGTGAGCGTAGGGTACTAATAATATGAATAGGTCCTTTTTAACCTAGGCTGATTAATACCATACTAATGTTACACATGCATTTTAATGAATACCTGATCCTTTTTCAACAATTGAAGTAAGGTTAGAATAATTTGAAAGGTACTTGTTAGCCTCTGCAGTGAACCGAGGATTAATTACACCACTCTCACTTTATGTTCATCGCAAAGCTTTGTCTTTTATGTATAGTACATAATATACATTCCATCTTTATGTAAGAGGCCGTCCGATCCGCAGAGACTCGCGGTCCCACTGAACCGAAAGATTGGTGACTGACTTGGTCGTTGTCATGGTGACATTCACACAGGCAAAGCTGTCCTAAGCAGGGTCACTTGTTGCTATGGCAACAACCCCATAGAATCTCTGTGAGAAGAATTTGATTTTGAAATTAGGGTCTATACTGGATTGAGGGTATAGAGAACACCCTCAGTGTCATGGAATATCCTCACAAAGATGAGAATATGTATGTGTGGGGGGGGAGTGCAGCGTATACCTGTCTTGGCACTCCTCTTTCTGGTGTCTCTCTAAGCTGGAGCGGGGGAACTGTTTTAGGCAGAAGGTGCATTCTGTCGGCAGCTCACTGACAGCTTTCTCCACCGCCAGGTTCCTGCAGCAGAGGTTCTTGCTGATCTCACACCTACACATACGCATCGGGCCACATGTCACACGTCAACGTTGTGGTGACACTTGTGCTATTTGAAGAATGTTCACTCAAGTTTGTGAACAATGCAAATTATGCTTATCTGAATTGTTGTGGTGCTTTCAACTCACTTAAGTACAGTATGTGAAAACATTCCAATCAACACTCCCTGTACCAATATATCAGTAAGTGATGTTATGTTGTACATAACAAAAGGTGGCATCTTAGTCAGCCCTGCAATTTTATCCTGCTTTTTCAAATCTTACTGATCCTGCCTTAGCTTAAAATCAATGTGGGTTTTGATGCTCGAAATGTTGTTAACCAGCATCACTTAGCCGCTTACTCAGAAATAGCAGAAAACAAAACAATATATTTTCCCCCATTTTGTTGCATCAGTGTAAGTAGGAAAATGTGTCTGACGTATAAAGTGCATTCAGTGTCTCAGGTCTCAGACAATCATCGACTAAAGTAACCGAGTAGTTAGTTTGTATGCCTGTGTGCACGCGTCAGTAAGTGCGGATGTCACAGGGAACTTGGTGTACCTGCAGTTGGGACACGTGGCCTGTTCCTCTTTGAGACGAGAATCCGCCAGGAGATGGATGAAACAGCCAGCACACATCAGGTGTCCATTTGTACACTGTCGTGGGAGAAAACAAAGTGCATGAGGAAAGTTATTATTGTGAATACTAACTGGAAGGGAACAAGTCGGAAAGCACTGGAAAAATGGAATGAACGTTTCTCCCGTCAAATTCAATGACAAAAATGTGAACATATCTATGGTACTTGGGACCATAGATACTATGGGACAAATGGTTTGCTTAAAAGCAGTACATTTAGTGTTTAAATTAGATCATTGCGGAAAATACTATAGAATACCGATATTTATATAATTGGTAAGTTATATTCAAACCAAAACAGAATTTAGACTTGTTTGGCAAAGTTATAAAAAAATGGATTGGCGAAAACCTCTCAAAAATAGAAAAAAGTGTTATACATAAAGTATACATAAACGTGAGAGTTCTCTCATTGTACATGAATAAGTTCTGTGATACATATCGACTAACAGGCATGGTGTTATTTGCTTGTCGTGCTTCTCGCAATGTTTTTTAATCTACATATCTGGTAATATTGTGTATGGAAAGAATGTACTAGTGCTTACACAGTATTTTTGATAAATGTCAAATGTTTAAAACCGACTGAACAATTATTAATTGCAAATATGTTCACTTGACATTGAAGTGAGCGACTCGAGGGACGGATGAAGGTGAAGGGCGAAAGATTACTCAAATGTAGGTTCTGGTTGAGTTTGCCTGTTGGAGTCGGGGATGTGGCTTTTGCTTAAGGTTATTTGAGGATATTTCACAGGACAATGTTAGAAACTTGAGAGGCCCATCCGGCCACTCGGCCTGGGCGTGTCCGCTCTGTCTCATGGCAGCTCGCAGACACTTGGGGCCTAAAAATAAATGGAGCTGGCCATCATATTCAACAGGTTGGCTCTAGGGTTCAGCGGTTGGGAAATGTGGGGAGTTTCTAGTAGGATGTCCAGCTGCTGCTGCTGTCGTTGTTGTTGTTGTTGTTGTTGTTGGTGTTGGTGGGGGGGTTTAGGGTTGGTGGGGGAGGGGGGGGGGTTGTGATTGGCACCACGTTTACCTGGTATACAGACGCCTTGGGTAAGTCTAGGCACACGGTGCAGCACAGCACTGAGTACAGTCTCTCCTCCAGCTTTCCTGACTCTCCCTCGGGCACCCTCGCCCTCTTCTTGGGTGGTGGCTCGTCCGGGTCCGGCTCGGGCCCTTCTCGCCGGATTCCGACCTCCTCCTGCATGGCCGCGACCCCGGCGATAGCCTCCACCGCTGCCCCCACGGCCCCGGCCCCCATGCCGGCCGAGGAGGAGCCAGGGGCGGCCACACCGCCCACGTCTCTCTCTTCCAGTGAAGACATGGCGACCACCGTCTAGAAATCTGTGAGATGTACCCGCCGCGAGCAGCCCGAACCGGAGTATTAGCAGGTTAGCTCGGGGGCTAGCATACGAGCTGTCAAGCTAACGGTCAGCTGACAGCTAGCTAGCGTTAGCTAGGCTAACGCTACAGCAGCAGGCTGTCACAACTGATGCAGGCTTACGGTAACTTACGAACTACACCAACTTAACAAGCAAACGATTGCGTAATAACGAAAAAAAAAACGTTATTATGACTTAATTAAACGTTTAACTAGTTGTTGTTGTTGACTCACAGTGAGGCTAGCGGACTACGCGGCTAGCTACGTTGACAAAAACACAGCGGTCCTCTCCCTCTGCCGAGGCAGAACAAAAACAACTCAGGCGTCTCTCAGCTGTTGTTGTGCTCTCGACGCCGTTATTCGCAATGACAGCAGATCGCGACGATGCCCGGCGGCGGCCCAGCTCGGCTGCTCATCTAACCTCCCTGCTCCGGTACCGGGCGACCGTCCGCGGGACCCGCGGGAGCTGTCGGTGATTAAAGTCCACGGCTGGAGACAGTTCTGCTGGGACTCGTCTCTCTGGCTACACAGCCATCTTTGTTTTGTTTTTTTGTTTTTTTTGTTGTTGTTTTTTTTCCTGTCCGTCTCCCCCGACTTTACCCTGCACGGACTCCGGGTCAGATGCGTTATTACCCGGGCAGGTTCCCTTTCGCGGCTGATGACATAAGTAGCGTCAGCGGTTTTTTTTAAAGTAGGTCTTTTGCGTGTGTCTGCGAGGGCCTCTGTGGTCCAGCGGCTACTTCAGTACAGCCGGTGTACTGGCTGACAGCGGAATGTTTTATTGTGGCAGATGACTTGGGGTATTTAAAGAGTTTTTAAAGGCGCATGCGCAGTCCGCACCTGCGGGTCACTGTGCGTCTCGGGCATTGAAAGGTGACCAAAACCTGATATGCGACATTTTTAAACTCAGCAGAGGACACGTCATTTAGCTTATGTTTTTGCACCACACGCAACAACATATCAATAACACCGTCACTAATCTGTGACATCTAAAAGTTTTGACAAAACTTCATAAACAAAACCCCTTTGGCAGCAATCCGTCAAAGCGGCTCAACCTGTTGTAAGAGGCCCTGTAATTACGCGTGTTATGGTTGCATGAATAATTCTGTGAGAAAAGGGTGATCGAATAAAGCCCATCTTTGAAGTGAAATGAACTTGAATTTGTGCGAACAAATTGTCAACCACTGGCCGCTGATCCTTGGTCAAATACATTTCTAAGCATATTAAGGGGGGGGCAGGGCTGGGGGCAGTTGTGTACACATGGGGGGCTGATTGTGTGTCCCCTGGATTAGGTGGGGCGGAATGTTTGAGTCAGCTGTCTGCAATTGGGAGGGACACGACTAACCACTCCCATTGGACCGATAGATGGGCCTTATTTGGACCGTGTGGAATGGCACGAGAGCCATACCACTCTCAGCTATGCAAACACTCAGCCAGTAACTGTACGTGGGCAAACACTGTACTCTGAATGCTGGAGGAGTCTCACTATAGCCTCTGGATCCGACGACACTTTTAATTTGTCCAAATATTGCCACAGATTGTAAATTCACTGATTTATAATCATCCCAAATTTTCCCCGCCAGGATTGTTAAATCCAATCTAAAATTTCTTTCCAAACAAAACCAATACAAAATACTTACAGCAGCATATTTTTAGAAAAATGGCATTCAAGAGATGAAAGTACTTGGAAGATATTTTTAGTTTATGAAGTTATAGTAAACAACCTTCTTAGCACAGCCCTCTAGGAATTGACTTAAAGGGGAAGCGGTACAAACAAGGAGGATGTTTTGGCTGGACACAAGCAATCCAATATCGTTACCAGATATCAAAATTAAACATGGCCTGCTGGAACCCCCCCACCCCAAAAAACACTTCAGTAATGTGGTACAAAAAATTTTTTTTATGTTTACCCCACAACATTATAAACAATAACAGTAACAGCAAATATGTTTACATCCAAATTAAGACCTACTTACTCTATTGAATTAATTTCAACGTAGTGCTTCTCATCCTATTAATCTATATATTATATCTAGATATATCTATATCTAGATATTCTAGTATTTGCTAAAACACTGACAGCGATAACCCTGTTCTAATCACGCGGTTAAACCGGAGATTGACAGCGGGGTGCAGACTGGGCGGGTGGCTGGGTGGCGGCGGTGCAAAAGTTGGGCTCCCGTTGTTGGGTTGGATGGTTTGCGGCGTCGGCTGTGACGGGGTCGAGAAGGGCAGACGTGAGGTTTTGCTGATGGAGCGGGTGAGATAAAGAAGCTGCTTGGTTGGAGGACGGGTGGTGTTGCGTGGAGCGGCCCACCGTGATTCTGATTCGGCGGAGGGTTTTGAAAATGGAGGCGATTGTCCGTTTTGTTTTGATTGCGTCTTAATGTGGGATTGAAGCTCGCTTTGGGTTTAGGGGGCAGCGGGCTGATCGAGTTTGACACTGAGGCTGGCTGTGATCCTAGCAGGCGGGTCTGTGGGCCCTGGTTCTTTTATTTCTGGCCTTCTAGATTCCCTGCTGGGTGAGCCAGAGTCTTTTGAGGTGCACTCTAATTTCTGTTGACCCGGTTCGGCCTCTGAAGCTGTGTCCACTTTGAGCTGTGGAGATATGATGTTCACTGCGCTTGTCTCTATTGCAGGTTGCCATGGCGGACTGTCTTCATCTCGTCTTCTTCCTGTGCTTGTCTCAGGCTCTGTCTCATCGTGCCTGCTGAACTCTCTCTGTGTGACCTCTACCTCGCTGCTGGTTCCCCTTGGTGTTCCTTGTGGCCCTCTTTTGGCCGCATTGGTCTGAGCAGGTCTCTGGACCAGTCCGGGCTTGTCTGGTTCTGCTCCAGTGTCTGCTTTGTCCCTCCAAGTTTTTTCTGCGAGCGCCCTCTGCCTGCAAATTGAAGCCTTCACCCAGGGATGAGTCATGGTTTGCTCTGCTGTCAGCCTCACCGCGGGATCCGGCTCAAGCAGAGCTCTGACGAGGCCTGTGGCGTCTGCAGACATACACAGCAACAAGGCACGGGTTCTTAACTTGTGTGTGTGTGTGTGTGTGTGTGTGTGTGTGTGTGTGTGTGTGTATGTATAAGCATTTGTGGGAACACACGTTGTGTTTCTGTACTTTTCACCTTCTGAGACGGCGTCCCAGTAGGGGGACAAGAAGTGGAGTTGACCCTGTTTTATTAGCTGGAACAACTCCTCCTGGTCCCGATCCTGACTGCGAAATGGGGCAAATCCACACAGCAGGATGTAGAGAATAATACCCAGAGCCCAAACATCCACCGCAACACCGTAACCTGTTGGGTCAAACCACAAGTATTGTCCAAAAAGGAAAAACACACATTTATTGAAATACAGATTTAATAGTAGAACATAATGTAAAGCATTGATTAATGCAACAAACGGTACTAACCTGTCTCACGGAGAATCTCCGGGGCCACATACGTGGGTGTGCCACATATGGTGAAGACTGGTTCAGTCACAACCATGGCGAGACCAAAGTCCCCCAGCTTCAGCCTACTGATGCTGGGAGCCACGTGTTCTATCTGAGAGAGAAGACGAAAAGCAAGACAGACAGAAATAGAGTCAAGCATGGAGGCGTTGGGACTATATTTTAAAATTCAAACGTCTCCAAGGGCAACCACATCAGGCTATATGTATTTTTCTGGCTTCATTTTTTTTGTGCCAAATCTAATGACTAGATATTAATTCGGACACTCACCAGCAGGTTTTCCGGTTTGAGGTCTCGGTGGACGATGCTTTTGCAGTGCATGTAGTTCAGAGCTTCGCTTACATCTGACACCATCAGTCCCGACTCTGCCTCAGGAAACGTCCCCCTCTCACTGATGGCCTCAAACAGATCCCCCCCGCCCACCAGTTCCATCACCAGGTATGAGTGAGTGTGCGTGTGGTGGTGCGAAAACAGCCGCACTATGCGTGGGTGACAGAGGCTACCCAGAAGGCTCAGCTCGTTCTGCATCATGTGCTCCCGACCGATCAGCTTGGAGCGTTCGACAATCTTCACGGCGAGGGTCTGTCCGTCGTCGCGGCGGCGACACTTCCGCACTACCGCAAAGTTGCCGTCTCCGACCACGTGTCCTATTTCATAGAAATGCTCGATTTCCGCCAGGGTGACATCACTTCCGTTTGAAGGAAGGTTAAAGGTGGTCCTCTGCCGAATGTCCTTGTGTGCTTCACCCACTTTTGGAAGTGGGTTTGAAATAAATTGGGCCACACTCTTCTCCTCGTGTCTACTGATTGGCCGAGGAAGGGGGGGGCTGATGCGGCCCTCGAATTCTTGTACTTCTGGTTCTGTGTCTGGTTCTTTTTGCTTCCTGGACACAGGAGGAAGTGCGGCCCTCCCTGACAGTGGATTGAGCCACTCCGGTACCTGACGCTTAACTCTTCTTGCTAAGCAGTCTTCACACAGTGTAGGAGGGGCTACGTCTCCTTCTCTAAGACTTTCCCCGTATTTAAATGGGTCAACGTCAAAATCATGGCGCCCTCTGGCCCCGCCCCTCACACGCAGTCTCTGCAGGTGGTTGGGCAGGTGAGCAGGTTTTCTATAGGAATTCTTTTTATGACACTTTGGTACATCCGAGTTGTTATGTTCGGACTGGTGCGTGTGCACACAGTGAGGCGGCTGTGTATTTGTGGCCGGGTGAGTCTCTTGGTCCGTGTGTGTCTTGTTGCTCTCCGTCCCCTCACTGTACCCACTGTCAGCCTTCGCCGCTTTATCTGCCGCCGGACGGAGTCTCTTCTCCCAGGCCTGCAGTGCGTCAGCCCGGTAATGAGATTGTTCCGGGAACAGCTCCTCCAGGGCCTCCTGCACATCGCTCAGCTCCGGACGAACCTTCCCCAAGGCCAGAAAGGCCACCTCGCCGCGAAAGAAATCACACACGCCTTTAACCTACGAAAAGATGGAGAGGAAGGGACCATTTAAGACAAGCCAGGGGCCCACATCCATATCTTATTCTTCACAAGGCCCTTGGTTAGACTCAGCAGATGGGTGTCAACTGAAAATCTGTGCATACGGTGTGCAGACAAAGACCAACAACCAAGAACGACGATGCCCTGGGGCCACACAACTCCGGGTGTGCGGTGTGTCAACTTGTTAGAGCTGTTTTGCATAAAAAGTGTTATAAAAAGATGTGGGCTGTTCTAGTGTCCCAGTACCTTTCAGCACACCAGGTAGAACCAGTTACAGGAGTAGTTAATAGTGACAATCGGCGTGTTTTTGCCTCTTGGGGTAGGGGGGCCGTGGCTGAGCCTCACCTCTCGTGCGTGGGTCGTGTACAAGCGTGTGACTCTGGCTCTGTGCCAGCGAGGAAAGCCCAGCGCCTCAGAGATATCCAGCAGCAGTTGCTCGAAGGACACCACACCTCTGCGGTTCAACAGGACCGTCACCTTGACAGCAGAGGGAGGGACAATATTACAGTTGAATTATGAAATCCTTTTCCATGTTGATTACTCTCTATACTGATTTTAAAGTGCTACTGAAAATGATAAATATGGAGTTGACCTTGCGTAGTGCACTTTGACTTTGAGGGCGGATGATGGTGACCAGATGCGGCCTCTCTGCGCTCTCTTCTGCATGCCGCGTATGGAAGAGAGGGAGCTGAGGAGGAGGAGGAGGAGGTAAGTGGGATCTCTGGACCAGTCGCATCGGGTGGGGGTGAAGGGGCCGGGGCTGAGGTGCTCCGCCAGCGCGCTTTAACAACAGGACTGGAGGAGCTGAAGCAGCAACAAAAGGAGAAAGAACGGCAAACACAGGATGCAAGGGTTTGATTATTTAAAGTCTAACACTGATGACATCGAGTTGTTTCTTTCAGCCGTGACTACAAAAGGAAACTCATGAGTAACACAACACCAGAGTCAGTGTGTGAGTGTGTGTGAAAACAAATCCGGCCGATCAGATTTGAGTGTTTTCCATCACATGGAGTGAAAGGGCCATTTGAGATTCTTCAAGCACCTTGCCCCACTCGCTGAATAATTTAGGCTTCCTTAGGACATGCAAACCCAACACAAAAAACACCACACACACACACACACACACACTACTTAACAAAAGCTTGCTTGACCTGGTTAGAGCTCAACTGAATCTGCATGATTAATGAGCCTTTGGAGACACACAGCATCTTTGACGTTTCACTTTTTTTTTGGCACTGTGGGAGAGAAAGACACTTTCCATCGAGTCAGTCCATAGAGGGGGGGGCGTCTGTGTCCCGATGCACAACAACTGACAGACTCTTTGACCTCTTTACATGATGACCAGCGCCTTTCTTTTAAATGAGACACCACTGCCCCCCAGAGACTGAGCATCAGTCCACACAGATAAATCCATGGCCATAAGCTTGAACGTCTCCTTCTCACCTCGTTATATTTATAAAAAGTCACGTAACAACATTTAACTTCGCAACATTTTTCGTCACAATCTTTGAGAAAGAAAGTTAGAATGCATTGGTTAACGCACAAACAATGTGGTCGTTACGGAGTGTTGTGTGTCACGAAAAGTCTTGACTTTAACAATCGGTAAAGTTTTTTTTATCCTTCAAATCAGGCCATCGACTCACCTGCCATTCTCCATTTAGTGTCGCGCGCCGCTTCGCCTCCATATCGAGTCCTCTGCGAGGACGTCATGACTCTCCCAAACAACAAAACAACACGGGAGCTAACAACATTCCAGGGTTTTCGCTTTTATTTGTCCATAAGGCGCTGCTGTCATTTCTTCGGCTGTTATCTTTCACTCAAGGTAACAGGATGCGCCGCGCAGTGACCGGACCTGCTGTAGCCACGGTGGTTACCATGGATACACATCAAGTTAAACAGCTGGAGACGCGGAGATACCGGAAGCAGAGCAAATTGACCGAAATAAGGTATTTTTAATAACTAAATATTGGTTTATGGTGGCTATATCAAAATAGCATATTAGTTTAAAGATAAAAAACGTAGTTGTAATTCATTCTAAAACACCATTGAAGTGAAGTACTTGATCAATCAAAGTAAATTCAAGAGGTTTTATTTTGAAGGTTTTGACCGGAACTCCTTTTTTTGTACTATGATAAGACCAATGATCCACTGTATCACCGACCACGATCAGTTGCAGCCGAAACGTTTTGTAAATTTTGTAAATTAATTTAACTATTTAATTATGCAGATGTTGTGCTTATGGGCTGGCTCAAACAAACCTACACGTGTCAGGTATATACAAATGATGTCAATTAATGTAATTTAATTAACTACATGTTTAATTGCTTTAAAAAAATAACTAAAACCTTTTCATTTAGATCTAAAACTACATTAAAAAAAGCCACAATGATGGCAAGGCTAAGGAGATGGGCATGTATTACAACCTTTGGGTCAGGACCCCCCTGCTGATATTTTAATATCACATTCTGGCAACCATTGACAAAGGCACACAAGTATCATTCTTTAATTATATGGGGTCCCAAGAGTTTGGTAAGGCCCTAGCGTTAAAGGCTTTTGCTGGCCACTCAACCCTTTTTCCACTCCTACTCTTTTATCCCTGTAACTAGATAACAGTGACACATCTAAAGTATCTAGAAGCAGAAATTTCCCAAATTCTGGAAAAAAATAAACTGTAAAAGCCCACAATTCAGCCTGTGTTCATTTGCATGACGTGAATTCCTCACAGCCTCCAAAATCATAGAAACAACAAAGGACCCAGCTTCTCAAAGTCATGGTGTAAAATCACACAGACAGAGGGGGTAAAGGAGCGGCCAGTCATAGGCTCAGTAACCATAGTTTCACTGATGGAATCCAATACTCGACATCACTCACACACACACACACACACACACACACACACACACACACACACACACACACACACACACACACACACACACACATGCACACACAGTATCCGGTTGATCTTTCAATGCACTGCTCCCAATGGCTCTGTCTCTAAGTAACAGCTATTATTGGATCAGGGGAAAACAAGTCTTATTTCGGCTTCTCATCCTGGACTGTGCTGTCTATGAGGTACAGTACCTCAAAAGTGCTTTAAAGTGTTCATTCTTAATCTTTTATGTATATATTGCTTATAATTTTAGGTATTGTGGTTGTGAATGTTTTTAAGTGTGTTCTCTGGCAGTTTCTACACCTTCGTTTAAGAGTAGAAGCAAATGAAAAACAGTTATAAAGAAGGGTGATGACATAGCTCTAACTTGGTAGTCATGGAAGCACTGATTCTTTTTTTGGTTGGAATCCTGTAAAAACAATATTTTATAAGTGGAGTTCATTTTACGGTTGCATTATCTTACCCAGAAATGCCAAGTCAGAAAGGGCCCTGTTAGACTGGAGGCAGCGTGCTCACGATGCGCTGCTGGAACCCGACCAGCAGAGGAGGCAAGTGTAGCGGCAGGAGAAAGGGATTCCCTGGAAGAACTGCTCACCCATGAATACAAGTCAATTCATCGTTTCATCACATTTGGTTTCTATTAAATTATGTTGTAAAATCCCTTAGTGGCCTGCAGATACAGATTTGATCCTGAAAACCTTATGTGCACCAGAGAAAATCCCCAAAAGTGGGAAGGAAATCAGACAGGCCGACCAATGTGTCGTCCCTGAATGACGCTATTCATCTGTTTTTTTACTTGGTTTCACCAGAAGCCTTACAGAACAAGTCATGGAATGTAAAATCGTATGTCCTGCAGAGGCTTCACAAAACACATGCACATAAACGCCGCACTGCAGTTATTCGGTGTGTGCGTGCCAACAAGCAACCGCTGTCACAATAAACGGTACCACTTGTCATGAGGTTTAAGGGTGTATAAGCTGTAAATGCCCCTAGTTAGCGAGCCGCTCCATTCATGTAATTCCCTTTCTGACTTGTCTCTCAAGCTCCCGTTTGGATAAGGGAGTGATATTTTCCGCAGCCAAGAGAAACATGGGAGTGTTTGCGGAACGGGTAATTGAACAGATAAGTGTGTGTTACAAAAGGGAGTGACATGTCCAGATGATTATCTGGTTATAATATTCCCGCCTTCACAGAAATGCAAAGGAAAGCTGTAAGCGCTACCAACGGTCCTCGCTTTATGGCGCTCCGACCCCTTCCTTTGGCTGCTCCGAGGATTCAACCCGGCTCTCCTCCCGCAGCTTTCTGCTGACGTCAGCTCGATGTATGTTTTGCCTCGAAGACGCCGAGTTTCTGTCACAGACGCCTGCTCGGATAAAGGAGTGCGTGTGTAGGCCAAACACTAAAATGGCGCAAGTCAACCATTTCACCAGCAGTTCAGCCACTTACAGACAGATAGTGTTTCATAAGATCGATGAGAAAAGTGGAACTCAAGAAGGTTGCGCAAAGACGGGACAATGACGCCGCTAAGGTGACAAACGTGACCATCACTCGGCCAATGCGTTGTGCTTGCGCGGCATCAGAGTCCGTGGTTATTTCCAGCTGAGATGAAGCTTTCACCATGCGCGTGTTACAAGCCTTCAGTAAGCAGGGGGTCACTTAAAATCAGATTGCGGCGACTAAAAATCCAACTCGATGCCAGTTACGACCACTGAGGCCTCACAGGAGCAATTTCTTGCAGGGTTGCGTAACACGCACATGTGTTTGAACTCTGCCACAGTGGTGGAATGTATTTAAGGCCGGAGCTAAAACATTTCGACCTTTATTCCCACTCCTGTCTCACACCTGTCCATGTCAAATGTCCGACACATGCATGCCACAGATTTGTCACACACACACACACACACACACACGCAACGACACATGTGTCAGTTTAGACACGGCAATAGACCAGAGAGAAGGGTGGCAACTGGAGGCATAAGGGCAGTGGGACGGGGTGCGTGAAGCTGTGGGAGCTGATGAAACAGTACTCGCCATTGACTCATTTTGCCCTCAAAGCACGTGTGTGTGTGTGTGTGTGTGTGTCTGCTTGTTGGGACAGGGTTTTGGTTTTGTGTGCTTGCTATTACACAACTTTCAGATCATCAGACTATGTGCAGATGTAGGGATCTCATCAGAAACATGGACGACGAGGGCACATTTGTACTTCAATCGATGCTGCTGCGTGTGTGTGTGTGTGTGTGTGTGTGTGTGTGTGTGTGTGTGTGTGTGTGTGTGTGTGTGTGTGTGTGTGTGTGTGTGTGTGTGAGAGAGAGAGAGAGAGAGAGAGAGATTGCAAAATAGACACTGTAGTATTGGACAACCCTTTCAACCACCCTTATCTTGTCTCTCGTGATTATGGCCCACTCTGCCATCACGTGACAGTGTGACTGTGTTTACCCAACACACACACACACACACACACACACACACACACACACACACACACACACACACACACACACACACACACACACTTTACTGGTCACTCTGCGCTCTGGCGGGCAAGACGGAGGTCAGTAAAAGGCAAACAAGAACAAAAGCAGGTGGTAAACTCGAGGAACAGGAGTCCCAAAGTAGTGAAGCTCGTAGAAGGCGCAGTAGAGGACTTTCATGATGTTCTTTTCAACCTTAACAGGAATCAATCCCCCCCCATGACCTGAGGCTCAATCTGTCTTTCTGTCGCTCACAGTGGGGGCTTGTTCATCAACCCCTCTATTAACCCTGGGTGACCTCATGGTGGACATGTTGCCCTCACTGACCCCCCCCCTCTCTTATGCTTGTTTAAAAATGACCATTTTGTTGTTGGCACGGCAATAAAAAATACAGCGTTGTGCAACACGTATAACACAGAATGCACTTAGAACGCAGGGAACCACTGCATTCCAGTTCTGCTGTAGAACCCCACTATCGTACCATAGTCAGCTGCACATTTCCCCAAACGCACTATTGGCATTAAGCGAAAACAAGGAGATCCCACAATGACTCCGTCTTTGTCTCCATCCCCCCCGCGACTCCCTCACCACCCCCCCCCCCCCCCCCGCCTCCGGGCTCGCGTCCACAGCGTGCTGACGTCACGAACAGCCGGTATAAATCCAGCCAGTAGGATCGCAGCACTGCTCGCGGTGCTGTCTCGCTCTCCTCCCCCTCTCCTCTCACTCTCCGCCCGCCTCCCTCTCGCCGCTCGCGCTCTCACAACCTCACTCGTCAACATGGCTGCAGATAAGGTCAACGCTTTCGTGGGCAAATGGGAACTCAAAGAGAGCGTGAAATTTGATGATTACATGAAAAAACTGGGTAAGCTTTTTTTTCTTTCTTCCTGTGGGTGAAAGTGTGTATGTGTGTGTGTGTGCGTGCTTGCGTGTGCGCATGCGCCGCACAGAGAAGAGGATGAAGAGCTGCATGTGAGCACATGTGGCCGGGTAGGAGGGAGGAGGGGGGGGGCATTGAGGGTTTGTGTTTAACCTGTTTAAACAGGTGCTAATGCTTTGCTGTGGGAAAAGTAAAGAAGATGAGGGGAGACAATGGAGGGTTGAAAAGGGAGAAAGCAAGATGGAGAACAGAGTGATTGGAGGGAGGAAAAAAAGAGGATGGGAGCCAGAGGGGGAGGAAAGAGGGAGAGAGAGGGTGTACCGCATGGCCTCAGTGCTGGAAATGAGGGAGGGGTGATTTTTTTTCTAGTGGGGAAAATCCTCCACTTTGAGAAACTCTGAATGGCGACAAGCTGGCGTTCACACACTGGAGCATAATGTGGGTGACCTTCGCAGAAGGCTGTCCATTGTCCAGAGGCCATGGGGGAGGAGTGCAAAGAAGGTCCCCAAGCAGAGGAGCTAACAGGGAGAGAATGTATGGGCTTCAAAGTATCTCACATGCACACATAGCTTAGTGTGTGTGTGTGTGTGTGTGTGTGTGTGTGTGATGGGGGCAGGTGCTCAGACTTTTACAACCATGAAGAATGACCCCTAGAGTGTGAGAGCCGACCGCGCTGTCTGCGCTGGTCACCAGAGAGACCCACCAACTTCTAACCCCGGCCCCCTTGATCGATGAGGCACAGACACACAAAGGGACGTTTTGTCGTAGTGATTGTGGTGAAGCAGCTGATTCAACTCTTACATATGAGCCGAATCCTCAGCCCCCCCCACCTCTCCCTAAAAAAACAGATTTCCTTTGATACGGGTGTGTCCCTGTTTCTCAAACCTATTCACACACACACACACACGTCCAGACAGGCAGGTCAGCGGGACGATGTAGTGTTTGAGCAACATGCCGAACATCTGGGCAGCAGACAAGTAGAGATTAGAACCAAAGGACGCGTGCAGGGCTACTTTTTATTTACAAAATATATCCCCTAAATATTCTCACTCTGCATGTATTAAGTATAATCAAATTATAAGACAATATCAAGTATTAATTTTAGCAAATATACATTTATTGATACATTTATTTTTGACTTTTTGATGAAGAGACTAAAAATGATTGGATGAATTGCCAAAAATTGGCTACAAACATTTGTTTTTCCCAATACAAAGGTTTTGTACATTTTATCTCTCGCCACTAGTAGTTTGTTTGGTTTGATCTCATTGGTTGAGCTTGATCTTGTTTTTAATATAAATATATATATATGTATATATACATATATATTTTATGCATGAAGGCAGTAATAACCTTTTTTTTTTCTACAGGTGTGGGCTTTGCGACGCGTCAGATGGGAAACCTGACCAAGCCCACCACCATCATCTCAGTGGAGGGCGACGTGGTGACGGTGAAGACCCAAAGCTCCCTCAAGAACACGGAGCTCTCCTTCAAGCTGGATGAGGAGTTCGACGAGACCACCGCCGACGAAAGGAAAGTCAAGGTGAGACGCCAAGAACATCTACCTTCATGGCTTTGACCGGGAATAGGGGGAAGAATGGGTCATAGAGGTCAGAGGTCAGAGGGGAAGAAAACATATACTGGTCAGAATTTACAACCGTGAAATGAGGCCTAATGTTCGGCAACCACACAGTATTATAACTCGCAACGCCTGCAGTTTTTCAACTATTTGTCTAGAGCAGATTTTCTGATTTGAGGTTCTGGGAAGAATATTATTTGTAGCTTATTCGGATTCAAATGACTTCTTCATAAGAACTCGAAAGACACAAAACCGGCAGAGAAACCAGCAGGAATTACTTTAAGAAGACACTTTGCTGTTATGAGAGTGAATGTACCAATGTAAATGTTAGATTATGTAGCTTATGTAAGCTATTAGCTCATTATTACAGGCCCATAACTAATGGAAAATATACATTGAAATTAAAAAGTGTATTTGAATATATTTGGTGTTATAACAAACATGGCGTAAATGTAATATGTATTTTATGTACATTTTATAGTGACTATCCCATTGTAATGATGCTGTAGCAGCCCTGACCCTTCGAGGGAACCATATCACAGCAACACATGCTAATAACGTGAAGCACAGCCAAAAACAACACACACATACAAATACAAGAACCCTTCCTTCACGATTCCTCTGTTTGTCCGCAGTCCTTCGTGAAAGTGAGCGACGATGGGAAGTTGGTGCACGTGCAGAAGTGGGACGGCAAAGAGACCAGTCTGGTCCGGTCCGTCGAAGGCAACGCCCTCACGCTGGTCAGCGCGCTCACCGCACCCGTGTGCACTGTGCGATACGTGCGTTGTTCCTATTGTGCATTAACGGCCCTTTTCTCTCTCTTTCTCTCCACCGCAGACACTTACAATGGACGATGTTGTCTCCACACGTCACTACGTGAAAGCGGAGTGAAACCCGCCCGCTGCCCCCCAAAACCTCCTTTAACACCACCTGAACTGAGCCCAGCTGACCTCTCAGCTGCCCTCTACGTCCTTCACACTGTACGCTCAGTATTAACTTTACGGCTGACTGGGAGCTGCCCTTTGTTTTTCTCGTTGTGCTGTTTGCGCTTCTGCAAGAGATACTGAATAAATTCCAATGATTTGTTGTTGTTTATTTTTTTTCTCTTTAAGAATCCAGCCCAGCATTGTTCTGTTTTTTTGAATGCGTTGTGCACGGTATCTACGATAAAACCTGGTACAGCGTTTGGATTTGAAAACTTCCCTGACTGAGGCCTGAAAAAAATGAAATAAAAATTTCTGCAATCTTGATCCAATTGGTAAGACAATGTAAAATGATTGGGGGTCTCGAGGTTTGGAGTTTTACAACCCGGCGGTTTAAGTTTACTAAACTGGGATTAGCACACATCTGAGGAAACGTCCCGTTATGATCAATTATTCAATAATAGAATCAATAAAGTAATGTAACTTAGGCAGAGATCAGTAGATAATAATGTAACGTTCCAGTCAGGGATCTTTCAAAGTTATGAGCCGCTGTCTCAGTGGGGAGGAACTGAAAGTATTCCCGTCCGACGTCTGCCTCAAGAGAAATAAAGAGTTCAGTATTCACAGTGCAACTAGAAGTATGTCCGAAGAATTTCACCAGAGTTTCCATCCCAACTGCTTTTGGAGGGACTCGGTTAATTATAGCCCCCCAACATATTGTGTGTGTGTGTGTGTGTGCGCATGCACACCTTGAAGTGTGCATCTTGTCCTGGCATGGTGTGGGGAAAGTTTAATCAAGCTGGTAGGTGTGCGGGTAATGTTGTATTTTGTACTGGTACATTTAGTGTTTGCGTGTGCTTTCTAAATTCGGATCATTCCCTTCCCTAGTGGATTGATGTCATCATGTGTTCGCGACTGACTGCCAACTGGAGCCAAGGTGAAAGGGATGGAATATGCACAATGTCTTAAACTCTTGTCTCAAACTCCGTGGTCACAGGAAAGGAAATCTGTGCACATTGTATAAAACAAGATTTGAGTACAGCCTTCTTTATTTTAAATATATATGTACACATATTTGTGTTTAGGAAGAAAGACAAACTGAAAGTCAGTTGATGACATTTAATATATATATATATTTATGGAATAATCTTGTTATAAGAAAGGTAACGCGAGACGTCTGCAAATCGTCAATTTGCTGCGTGCAGTAACGCGTCGCATCCACCAGGTGGAGACACAGATCGGCTGATTGCGTCATAATCTTATTTACAGACACGTGGAACTTTTGATCGACACAAACAAAGGTAAGACATTATTTATGGTTATCGCAAGCTGCTGGTTCGTGGAGTGACTAAAAAGCTGTGCGGGTCCGTTGAGTCTCAGTTGTCGTGTTGACATGTGGTTTGTATAGCTAGCATTAGCATGAAGTAGCAACATAGCATATCATTAAGATACATGCACCGATCAGCCATGTGCATGTCAGTGCTGTTAGGAGAGAGGAGGAATATGTGTCTCGATGTTCTTATTGGACGGTTAATAAATGAAAACATTCAGGGGATGAGGAAGTGGGGCATTAAAATCACCAACAATACATTAAATACAATTTAAAGTTGTGATTTAATAAACCAGATTAACAATTAACTACAATGTCTTTAATTTCCAACTCTGATATAATGTAAAATAAGATTTTTTAAGATAAATGAGTTAATCCCTCATGGAAGCAGAACTGTGTCAGAACTCAGGGACATCATGAGGAAAAGAACGTTCCAGCCCTCCCAAAATCAAACATTGTGTCAGAAGCTGGACAAATATGTAGAAACATGGAATTCTCAACTGTTTGTTCCAGTTATATTGAAATGATGTTCAATGTTCTTGAGAGTAACTAATGTGCTGTTGTACCTGCCAACAGATTTGCACCGAGACACATCACTGCAGCTGGAAAACATCTCTGCACAATCCTACATGTCGGAGCTTCGGGGTCAGATTCCTCAACATTCCTTTGTGTTCTCTTACTTGACGAGGGGAAAACCATTTGAAAAGATCTGAAAAACGCTACTCTTTGACCTCATGGGACATAAAGGTGTTGTGTAAATACCTCAGCTTAGTTCTATTCTGGCACACGTTACTGTTATCTAACTGCAGGGCTGGACCAAACCCAAACACACACACACACGTGTGTGTGTGTCTCTTTTGGTCCCCCTATGAACTCACTTTAAAAGGAAACATTACGAGTTCAAGGTCCAAGAACAAAATCACCAAGACGTATCTTTTGTGTTCTCAAATAATAATAAAAAACATTCCTTTAATGGATTTAACAGCTGACAGGCAGGAAGGAAGGTTGTGTGTAATGCACAGTCACCGGGCGGCAAAGATACACAAACTCACATGTTGATCTACACACACACGAACAATAAGAAGCATCCGACCTCAGGATGTCATCGCCACCCACGCTTCCTATCGGGCTCACTTGTGCTGCACTTACACGTCCTGTTTGTCCCGACTACTTCCTGTGAGTGTGTGTGTAGCTTTTTTAATGTGGGTTGTTGGAAGATTCAGGTTCGTCATCTTCTTAATGAAACCTGATAGCTGTAAACAATATCTGGATTCCCGGAGCGGTTCCACTTGCTTCCATAAGGGTGACATATATGTGACCTACCTCTGAGCGGGAGACACTCTTTGCTCTCGACATATTTTGACAGGAGGCCTGAGTGTGCTTCCAGCGACATGAAGAAAACAGGTGGTGAGAACTTCCCTTCACTCAAATCAATTAAGTTTTTTTTTTTTCTAAACAAGCTATTGTTGGGGAAGTTTAAGTAAAGGATTCACAGCGGGAAGTCTGTCCCTCCGTCTGTTGCTACCCACTTCCTCTTTATTCGCGTCGGTCGTGTGACTGGCGACGTGGGTTTCAGTTGAGTGTCTGTCTCAGCTGTGTTTGTGCGATTTGTGTTTCTTGTGTTTCTTTTTCTTTTTGTCCTCTTTGTCGTGAGTGTGCTCGCGGCGCCTCTTCTTGGTTTTGCACTCGCCGCCGTCGCTGCTGCTGCTGCTGCCGCTCTCCGACTCCTTTCTCTCCCTCTTCTTCTTGGTTTTCTTCTCCTGGAACAGAACGTACCAGACGGACATTTATTTTGTGAAACTGAAAAAGGGACGTGACAATGCAGGAACACAACGTAGGAGGCAGAGATTTTATACCTGAAAACACAATGCTTTCCACAGTTCTCACAGAGCCGCGTTCATTCTCACAATGTGAGCAACCGCACGTGTGCATTTCCATTAACAGACATGTGGTTTCAGACGACTCATGAAACCAGACTGACAAAAAAGGAAGCAATAGCCACTCGAAACAGTAACTGTAACATAGTGACCTTCTTCTTCTTCTTCTTTTTGCCTGACTCCAGCTGTGGTGCAACCGAGGACGGCTGCCGCGGCAGCGGGAGCTGCTGCTGCTGCCGCCGCGGCTCTTCGTCGTCCTCGTCGGGTAACAGAGCGTACTGCAAGCCCGGAGCGGAGAAACAGTCCTTTGTAAAGTGACCTGAAAGGGGGCAGAGGGACTTTGAGCTAATTTCCCTGGAGACATTTGCTGGAAACAGTTACACACTCTGTGTATTTTTGTCTTTCGAGGTGAAACGTTTTGTCGTCGTACCCTTGCAACCGCACTTTGAGCACGTGGTGTTGAGGACGGCCTCCAGTGTGATCCTGTTGCCTGTGTGGTCTCGGAATTGTCTGCGTCGCCTTGCGTCCTGCCTGCAAATCACACGCAGGGAATAAATCACACGCACGCGGACAAACAGAGTGCACAACAACATTAATCCATATGTACTCACTCTCCCATGACGTTGTTTGGGTCCAAGTCCTGTCCAGTTCCCTGATTGACAGCTTTCATTGAAAAGGACAACTTCACCTTGTCATCTCGCATCTGAGTGACAGGAAAAAGAGCTGCAGTCATGCTGCTTACTTCACTGACACAGCTTGTTGCGTGTATGTGTGTGTGTTGTTGTTACCTCTCTCCCAATGACTTTAATCCACACCTTTTCCCCCATATCCACAATTTCTGAGGCGTTTTCAACGCGCGAGGCTGACATTTCACTCACATGCACCAGACCTGTACGTGTAGAGTAGAGGAAAAAACGTTTACTTATACACACAACAAGATATACGATGCTGAGCAGAGTGCTTTAAAAAGGTTTGGGATATGGACAATTAGAAATTGCTTGGATAAAAAAAACACGCTGTTTTTCCCAGAATTTCCATCACAGTTCCAACTTCCCCAAAAAAATGCTTTCATCTAAAACCCTGTCCTTCAAACGTGAAATGTCGAAAAAAACATAGATAACTTTCTTGGAATATAAATAACATGGCTCAAATCCTGATTTCAACCCTTGTAAACTTTGCTTAGCTCGCCCCCTAGTGGTGAAAATGAGCAGCTGTTGTTCAGTTTGACATGCAGGTCAAGGACAAATGTGCAACAACAAATCAATATCCAAAAAGTATCACAGGTGTTAATATAGATAATATAGTTGACGCCCCCACTGTTACATTTCCTAATAACGATTAGGAATAGCCTACCTCAAACAATTACTGAAAACCTTTACTAGAAAGTCACAAAACTCGGGTGATTGTACTGACTTTTAAAAAAATAGGTCAACATACTTCAAATATAAACCTGCACTGTACATTTGGTTATGTTGTGTCAGATTCACTGATTGTAGGTTGCTGGCTGCTTTACAAAATTGATAATCAAACATCTTCTTGCAAACGGAGAAGGAATTCTGTTGTAATGTGAAAATCCTGCTGTAGTTGTATTGTGTGGAGCAGATGACAGGCGGTTTCTCCTCAACCTTGCTGACGCAGCACTGTGATACCCTGATACAGACACCATGCACTATGGTTCCTGCATCATTGGCACTCAGTCTGCATTTGCTTTTGGCTCTGGTCAAAGTCCCACATCTGACGCAGTGGTTCTAACCGGCAGCGGATGCAGATTTCGACTAAGCATCTTTCTGCCGCTGTATACGTTTTATTATACTTTACGTCTGTGTTACTGTAGTTTATTGTTCTTATTTTGTTATCTATCTGCTATTTACCTGTTTGTGCTGTTCTCTGCCTTCTTTTAATAAATGTATTTATATAAGTGTGATTAATTTGCCTTTATGTGTATGTATGCTTGTTTCATCTCTCTGGCTTCTGGAAATGCTTGCAAAAACATTGCACAAAAAACAAATGAACTTTTTTCCAACCTTCCTTCTTGTATCCTGGCAGTCTGACAAAGGCTCCATAGGTCTGCACAGAGACCACCTCTCCCTTGGAAATGCTGTGCATTGGTGGCAGACCATCCAGTCCAGTTGGCTCCTGTGCAATGCCATCACTGTCCGACATGGTCCCAGTGGACCACAGGTATCAATCAGTGGATCTAGAAGAATGACATATTTTATCATTTTAGTATCATAAACAAAGTAGAGAACTTTCTTTTGGGGGGTTTAAAGGTTTTTTTTAAGGCAATGCTGAAGATGAAAAAAAAAAGAGTTTGAATTTCCAATTGAAATCTTTGAACAGCTTAGCCTACATGTTTACAGGATAGGATCTTATGCGAAAAATGTTTAACTATGTTTATTTTAATGCATCTGTCTGACTAGTCCATCCGTCTGATTTAACCGTATAACCTGTACTATTAATACATTACATAGCAAGGCCTCGCAGACATTTTCGAAGGGGTCTCAACAACCGGAAGAATAATTAGAATATTTAAAATATTCAAATTGTTTTAGTAGCTCCTTGACATTTTTCATTAAAAAATACTTTACAGATTCAAATTATGCACCTTTCCATGTCACTTTTCATTTCTTTCAGGGATGTCATATGCTCGAGTAATATGCGATTCGGAAGATAAAAATATGTGCAACGGAACCTTAGATGAAAACGTTTGCAGGCACTTTACATCTACTGTAACAGAGCGGCATAATTTAAATAGTCACATTTTAGCTAACGTTAGCTAGCTAAGCTAAACTAGCTAACGGAAGACCCAGGCAGTCTTCAGCTAACGTTAGCTAATCTGGTTAGCCAAACCCTCACAAAAGCCAACGGGGAAAATGTTCATTAATTAATCACCCTGGCTGTAGTACATTAAGTATAAATGCGACGCGATCAAATGTTAATATAAAAATACGAGTGTGTGTGCGTTACCTTTCGTATTAGTGAAGCTGTTTTAGTTTTACATCCGGTTCAGTTAAGTTGAACAACAAGCTGCCTGCACCAATCAGCGCCGTCGGTGCAGAACTCGACCAATCAGCGCCGTCAGTGCAGACCTCGACCAATCACAAGCCGCATAGCCAGCGGAAGTATATTTATGCTCTTCCTCTTAACTCCGTTGTTCGACGTCCTTCCACGAAAGACATCCATTCATTTTTTTCTTTAAATTTTTCTCTTAAATTCAACTGTGTTCCGGATTCTTGTCGACTAAAGCAGGATGATTGAACCCAAGAAGAGAGCGGCGGACATGGCGGTGGTTCCGGCCGCCGTGAAGCGACCCCGCACGGAGCTGGTGGCCGCGGCTCAGTCGCAACAACTCGTGGCGATGGTACGTAGAGCAACGTTGCTATAACTCTGTGACTCTATAAGCTCTCCTAGCATCTCTTCAACGGTGATCAAAGCACATAAAACCCCACCGGTTACCATAATCCTACCCAATTTGCCCGTAAGTGCGCTACTTAGCTGTTTAAATGGTCTTATGGTGCCGTGTCGCTAGCTTAACGTCATATAACGTTGTACACAAACAACGAAGGAAGTGCTATCATTTGGCTTTTTAACATCCAGTCAGCTAAGAAGAGGCACTATTTAAAGTCATTATTCATTGTTGTAGATGTCTCTCACATTATGTATCACGTCTCTTAACTTTTTTCTTAAAATTCTCTCAAATGTGTTATCAGTCCACTGGCGAACGACTGGAGGAGATACCTTGTTTTGTGTGACACACTAAAGGTGTTGGGAGAAGAACAAGTCGTTATTATAATGTACACTACATTTTATTAGCTAACGTTACCACTAACGTAAGTTCATTCAGTCAAATAGAATACTCTTTAAATAAATCCTTAATTTGTAAAGATTATAACATACATTTTAGTTAAACTTACTTTAGAATTGTTGTGATTTGGAGGCTCTGCCTTCAGCTTTTACATGACACATTTGCACAAAGCTCCATGTCTGCAGTTCTTTAAAATGCTGGTTGGCCCCCGTTGACCTCTTATTATCGTGCAGTCCACTGGGATGAACAGCAACCTGGGATGTTTCCTAAATAGTTTTTTGTTTTTTTTTGCCCGAAAGCCACTATGTTTGAGCTTCCATGTGTGTCCCGTAGGGCCCCCCACGGAGCTCCAGCCTGCAGGCTCCCATCATGCTGATGTCGGGCCATGAGGGGGAGGTCTACTGCTGCAAGTTTCACCCCAACGGAGCCACGCTGGCCTCCTCAGGATTTGACCGGCTCATATGTAAGATGTTAACAATATAATAATGGAGTTCGCACAAACGTTGTCGGCATCTTCCCAGTTACTTTGAATAACTTGTGCCACGTTTCTTTTCTGCAGTGATGTGGAATGTATATGGGGATTGTGACAACTATGCCACTATGAAGGGCCACAGTGGAGCAGTGATGGAGCTCCACTACAACACAGACGGCAGGTATGAAGACAACGTCACAGGGTTACCCTGATACACCCAACCGTATTCAGATATGATGAGCTTTGTTAACCAAATCAATAGCATCACATTGAGACATGCGAGTGAATAGATCAAAGGAAGAATGATTCCTGGTAGGTATGATTTACATTTTTGGGATAGCAATCTGCTTTTGTCTGGTTCATACTTTCTTTAACACCTGCAACGTGATTTGAGTTATTGCGATTCTCTCAATAAGGCCGGCGCATGCTTCTGCGTTTGCGTCGACGCACTCGTTTCAATCCATGGTTCTAAAAGGCTTGCGCGTGTTGCAGAGCAATTCACCGCCAGAACAATAGGTGGAGTAACGTGTTTTTGTTGAAAAAAACATCTTTGTGTGTGGAAGTCGTTGGTTTGTTTATTTATTTAGCATAGACTTTATTGCCCCGTGCATCGCCACTGTTGCTTTTCATCGCGGACACATTTGTCCCGTATTTTCCTCCACAACTTTGTACACTTATCGACCGGCAAACCGACGTTTGCGGCGATCTCCCTCCCTCCATGAATTTACGCATTTCCTCCGCCAAAAGTTCTTAAATCTGATCCGTTCTCTCGTAAACATTCTTCATTTTAATAATGGCGGTATCGGCTATGAAAGCGGAAATGTGAGACTCCGTAAAGGATGTAGTTATCAGACCAATCACAGGCTGGTGCGCTGCAGGAGGCTTGCGTCACTTGTGTCGAAAGCGACGCAAGCCTAGAAAAATGGCTCGACACACGCAAGGACGCAAGGAGGTGTGAAAGGACACGCAAGGGGGTCTTGCGTCTGTGTCGCTCTGAAAACGCATGAACTAGGCTTTAGTAGGAATCCGTAACTTCTGTTGGTTCTGTTGGTATCTTTGGTCCTGCAGGAGTCCAAACCTTTATCATTTTGGTGCCATAGTTTTACCAGTGAGTCCATGGTGGACTACCAGTGGTGTTAAGCTGTTTACCTTTGGTTAACTTATATATTTATTTGACATTACAAAGTTTATCTTTCTGTTAATTGGATGCAACAATTATTTGTAGGGTTAGTACAGGGTTAGTATTGTTTTTTTTAGGGGGGGGGATTTCAATGGAATTTGATATTCATCACTTATGTTAGTCCAAACCAAGCTACCAAGCAAATGGGACTGTTAAATCAAGTTTCTGTAATATATGTAGGGCAACATATTTTTGGTTTCTTCAAATTAACTAGCCGGCTGCGATTACGACCAACAGAAGTGTCAAAAACGTATTTCATGAGTCAATCGTGCAGGCTGAAAAGTGTTTGTGAAGGGTCGACCCACTGTGTTTCCCTCTTGTGTGTTTCAGCATGCTGTTTTCCGCGAGCACGGACAAGACTGTAGGCGTGTGGGACAGTGAAACCGGCGAGAGGATCAAGCGTCTGAAGGGCCACACCTCCTTCGTTAATACCTGCTACCCTGCTCGCCGAGGGCCCCAGCTCGTCTGCACCGGCAGCGATGACGGGACGGTCAAAGTGAGATTTTTAGCTTCAGATTGGTTTAGATACAATGGTCCGTGTAAATGCTGAATTCGAATTTCCGCCCTATTTAGACTCAGACCTATATTGACTCGTAATATTTTTTGACATGTAGATTAATAGTGCCATTGCCACAAAATGGATCTCAAGTAAAGCAGTGGAGTGGCTCCTGTTTATCTTTACATGTGTGTTTTTGGTCACCTTTGCAGCTGTGGGACATTCGTAAGAAAGGCGCAATCCACACTTTCCAGAACACCTACCAGGTGCTCGCCGCCACATTCAATGACACCAGTGATCAGATCCTCTCTGGAGGCATCGACAACGACATCAAGGTACTTGGCTCCAGCACACTGAGAACCAGGGAATTACACTCAGAAAAATTAACGTCCTGCATAATAAGTTCATTTCACAGACTGCGTAAAAGTCTTAAGACATCAATGCATATGGATGTAAGCAAAATTGGGAAAAGCCATATAAGATAATATCTATAATCTGTCTCAGTGGAGAAGTTCTGGAAATGCATTTGGTTGTAGAGACTGCAGCACATTTCCAAAAATGCATGGCGCAAGAATTGACAACGCTTTTACTTTTGATAAAAGACATTAACCTCAGTGATAACAGCCGGCATAAAGGATTATTGTTTTGGATGCAATTGGTGTAGACGGCCCTGTTTGAAGGCAAGAATAGCTTCTGTTCTGTTACCTTCAACTCCCGCAGCGGGCCGCAGTGTGATTTTTAGAGGTATTGTTTTTCATTCTGTTCATATGTTGTCAGAAGATGGACACTGTCGACAGCTGTATTTTTTGGGGTTGTGTAGGTGTGGGACTTGAGGCAGAACAAGCTGATCTATAACATGCACGGTCACGGTGACTCAGTGACCGGACTCAGCCTGAGCTCTGAGGGATCGTACCTTCTCTCAAACTCCATGGACAACACAGGTAGGATGTTTGTGTGTTTGTGTGTGTGTGTGTGTGTGTGTTTACAGCATAAGAAATACCCGTTCCTTTCTCATTGCACTGAAGCTTCCCCTGCTTAATCCTTCTGTTGTCTGTAGTGCGTATCTGGGATGTCCGGCCATTTGCACCCAAGGAGCGGTGCGTGAAGATTTTCCAGGGCAACGTTCACAACTTTGAGAAGGTAACACAAATAACTCTCTGACCCAGAGTGTGATCTACTTGAATTTACACGGCCGATACGTCTCCCAACTATAAATACCATCAAGGATGAGGGATTATACATTCTTTCAGCTCGCTTGTTCGTCGGATGTGTCGTGTCGCTAATTCGGTTTCTAACGTCTGTTCCCGTCTTTCAGAACCTGCTGAGGTGCTCCTGGTCTACTGACGGCAGTAAGATCGCTGCCGGCTCCGCTGACAGGTGAGAGACAAGCCCACGCACACATCGGCCTCGGTGATGTACGCTATTGTCTTTGATGGCTTCTTGTTTTAAGAAGACTAATGTATACATGGATTTGGAAATTGTGCACAGAAATATGAAAAATTGGACTATGGTCTAAAAAATACAATATATGCATATATAAGAGGTTGTGCTTCTACTGCTCTTCAAAATAAGACGTAAATATGTATTAAACCCACCCAATTTGTTTCCACACTTGTAATAGTTTATAATAACTACAATATTACAAAGGTTTATCTACTAGATAAGCATCTGAAGTTGGAAGATGGACGTAATGTGTAGTCCTTTTAGTCTCTTATGTCCCCACTGTCTCGCATCAAGAGTCATTCCAGCCGTCTGCTTCTGTGTGTTCATAGATTCGTGTACATCTGGGACACCACATCACGTAGAATCCTCTACAAGCTGCCGGGCCACGCCGGCTCGGTTAATGAGGTGGCCTTTCACCCAGAGGAGCCTATAGGTGAGTCACACTGCTGCTTCCGTCTCCGGTTACACCCCGTAGTGCTCGCTGGAACGATGGCATCGAGACACTTGAGGCCGTTATCTTGAGTAGAAGGACAAATTATCTGGAGGGATTCTCATTTTCAACAATGTCTAACCATAAACCTTTTTTCCTTGTCCCTCTATGTAGTGCTGTCTGGCGCCAGTGACAAAAGGCTCTACATGGGAGAAATTCAGTAGTGTTAGTGTGTGAGCGTGTGTGTGAAGATGTGTGTGTGTGTGAGTCCTGCCTCAGAAGTGGATGGGTGGTGTTTGTCAGTGGGTGAGGAGTCTCTGTAGTTTCATGAGCTTCAGCTTGTCTCAGAACAACCTCAGGACGTGTGTTTGAAGTTTTATTATCAGTCACAAACCGCTCCGCCAAGACCCTTTTTTTTTTTTTTCTTTTTTAAAAAAATTGGATTTGTTTCTTTATAATAAACTTGAATATTCTTTCAAAACGCATTTGTGAGATTCATTTGTCATTGTGACTCTTTCCGGTGCTTTATGTCCAACTTACTGATGAAGTCACTGAACAAAAGTGAGTATCCCAATGTTCTTCTCACAAGTTAACATATTATTACTGACAAGAAGTGGGCCTTTGATATGAACACTGAGGCAATATGAAAGGAAGGACAAGACACGTCCTCTTGTTTTATGACCACATCTTATTCTGTGCAGACACATTGACCCTTTTCAGCTGTGTTGTCTCCTCTTTTTAGCTGTATGTACAGTATATTTCTGTTCCTGTACCTCGAGAAGCAAAACGCCACAGTGAAACTTTGTTTACTTTGCCACAACAACTGACTCTTCATGGTGGTACAATTGGGGTAAACAGGAATCAATTGAGCACAAAAGTCTGAGTGGGCAGTAAAATTGCTGATGAGAAGCAGACAAACCATTTTTAGATGACAAGTTGAAAAACGGCAACAATCAAACTCCCCTAATGTGGAGCCTCCTGGCTGGTCGGAGATACAGGACTCTATGGGGAAATTAGGTGGCAATTCTGTACCTTATTTATATTCTTTGTTACAGTTTCTACTATGAACCTAGTGTAGTTAACATGCGTTTAATATATTTTTTTATTATTCATTTATTGTATTTTTAGAAAGATGAGCTTAACTTAAAAGACAAATTGCAATCCATTACATTTATTTTTATTTTTAGATTGGAAAAAAAGACTATGAAACAATCTACTAGTACGATTTCTTCCTAGTTTCCTCTGAGGACAAGTCATATTTGCCTTTCAAACCGGAAGTGCTTCACCAAAGATGGATAATAAAAAAAAATACAAGTTAAAAAGGAAAAAAGACCCACGGACGCACAAACTCACGAGGGTCTGCAGAATCAGTGCAGCTCCTCCTCGAGGGGGTCGCGGTGACTGAGCGCCCCCCCCCCCCCCCCCCCCCCCACTCACACTACCCCCCTCTCGCTATTGGTATTTACCGACAAAAACCAACAGCCGGGATGGGTCACTCGCTGTGAGTTGACGGGGTCGGACCAGCGTTACGGGACGAGGTGGCCGCCTCGGGCAGGTCTATTCGGCCGGGAATGGTGTGAGCTGAGACGGCCAGGCAGTCTGGATCTGACCGGGGACCCGTCGTTCCCCCGGAGCCTCCGCGGCTCCAAGCCGCGTCCCGAGCCTTCCAAGATGGGGAAGTGCGACGGAAGATGCACGCTGCTAGTGATATGTTCACTGCAGTTGGTGAGTGTGTGTTTTTGTGTGGTCTCTCAGTGTGTGTGTGTGTGTGTTGTGTGCACGGTCCAAACTGGCTCTTCTCACTCAACATGATGATAGAATTAGAGCAGCGGCTTCAGACAGACACACACACAATGTAATCACTTTTAGTCCAGTCTTTCTCCTCAGTCACACTAAAAAAAGCTTTGAGCTGCAGCTGCTTGGAGGGACTACTACAGTACATTACAGGCCAGGGTGTGTGCGAGTGTTTGTGTGTCTTTGAAGGGCAAGGAGGGGGGGGGGGTGCTTTGGTGTCAGGGTGTCCTGTCTGTAGGGAGAGGGATGGGTGATACCCCCCAATCTGGTAAAACCCATGTGAACGTTAAGCACAATGAGGGGACAATGAGGCCCTGTTCACCATCTGGTCTCCATTCTGTAGTTAAAGTTAACTGCTCATTGTGCCTACAAATAGCTTGAGACTATCCCTAAATGTAATAAGTGTGTAATATGAGACGTTATGAGCTATTCCTGTAATGAGGGTGAAGCAGGCATGGACCACAGCCGTGGGAGGGTTGGTTATCCCGGCTATTGTTTGCACGCCTGATGAGTTGTTGTGTGTGTCCCGGGGATTCGGCCCATAGATTCTCATTATTTTGGGGGAGCTTTTAGGGGGTGCTCCTCTTTTACAGTCGCTGGACTGGCTGGTGCTCCAGGCAGTTACCATGGAAACAGCTGCGGCAGACCTATGCATGTATCCCTGCCACTGTCTCTGCGTGTATTTATTGGTGTGTGTGTGGGAGGGGGGGGGACCATAATTACTTGTGTGCATTGTGTTACTAACGTGGTATTTGTCCTTGGATGTGTGTTTATGTTTTTGTTTTTTTTACTCTAATGTGTATGACCCCTCTCACCGTCTTCTAGGTGGCAGCCCTTCAGAGGCAGGTGTTTGATTTTCTGGGCTACCAATGGGCTCCCATCCTGGCCAACTTCCTGCACATTATGGCCGTCATCCTCGGCATGTTTGGCACCGTGCAGTTTCGTTTCAGATACCTTATCTTTGTGAGTATATCCCTCGCTCGCTCTGGTGATGCACAGCTCCTGTTTACTTTAAATTGATACGGCGTCGGTGTGCAGTTGCTCTCGTGGAGAAACTGACCTGTTTCCCTGTTTGGCAGTATGCAGTATGGCTGGTCCTTTGGGTGGGTTGGAACTCGTTCATCATCTGTTTCTACCTGGAAGTTGGAAACCTGTCTCAGGTGGGTTCTGCCCCAAGAGTAATTGTTACTACTCCAATTGTTTCTTTTGAATACTTTATGTAAATCTTATTCACCTAGTTGTTGAAAACAACCACAAAACACCCATTTTGTGTCGCATAAATGTGTTTTTTTTCTCTGCTTTCTTCTTGCATCGTGTCTCCCGGCATTTTCTCTGTGACCCCTTAACAGGGACCTGATTTAAATCATGTATCATCATGAAATATTTAACGATCTTTGGTTCCAGCTTCTTAAATCATAAGATTAGCAGCCTCTTCTGTTTTATATCAGTGTAGATTAGGCTCTGGTACATTGGGATATTTTTCACTGTACACTGGCATTTTGAGATTTGATTAAAAAAAACATCCACCGTGAGAATAATGGTACGACTGTTTGTGGTTTTAGGACAGAGACTTTCTTATGACGTTCAACACGTCCCTTCATCGTTCGTGGTGGATGGAGCATGGTCCTGGTTGCCTGGTAACGGCAGTGCTCGACTCTCGCATGGCCCCTGACGACCACCATGTCATCACCGTCTCTGGGTGTCTCCTTGACTACCAGTACATAGAGGTGTTAAGTTCGGCCATTCAGGTCCTGTTGGCTGTACGTATCTAACGCAGACACACACACACACACACACACACACTCAGATTATGATACAACGCTTTGTTTTACACCCACACATAAAGTAAAATGTTCTACATTGTTAAAAATTATTATCTGTATTCTTATTTTGCTGACCCTCAGCCTTGACTGTTCAGCGACACTCATCATTTTCAACATCTCCTCTATTACAGCTTTTTGGCTTTGTATACGCCTGCTACGTGAGTAAAGTCTTCCAGGATGACGAGGACAGCTGTGAGTGCTTTTCTCTTCTCCTGGAATCCCGCTGATCTTATTCCAGCACTTTGTTCAGCGGATCCGGTTTACTTGTGTCATACTGTTGAGAGGGCTTTTTGAGTAAGCGATCCGCATCTTCGTACGTTGGGTCCTGTTAGCTTATTACCTCATTCCTCCCGCCTGAGCAATATGTCGAGCAATATCACCGCAGAGGATTCCCCCCGGGTGATCTGGGGGCTTTATTAGAGGGGTCTGCCAGAAGGTTCCCTCTGTCAGGAGTGTCGTGCTGCTGCTTGTCTGTGGGCTTGGGTGGGCCGTCCCCAAGCATTTCCCCGTCACTTAAAAGGTATAATTAAGTATTTTGGTTAGAATAGGGCGTCATGAGCTTGATTTTCTGTAACCGTAGGTATCACGCTGTGACGTCTTAATTTATACTTTGGCAAGTATCTTTGACTATATTGATAATTATTTAATTCGAGTGAAATATGGTGTATTAAGCAATTGTCATCAACACCAGATATACCAGTTTAGATTCTGCATTAAGTCCCATGATGTCATTCACATTAAATGCAAGAATATAACCCCACAGGAGTAATTCTATTAGGATGTCAGATCTTGCGTCTGAGATGACATAAGTTTGTTCTTCTGAATCGATTGAGAGAGTTTAGGATGATGTATCAGTGACATATAAGCAGCGAGAGAGATGATGTATCAGTTTTCTCATGCAGATCCGTTACAGTGTAATAAAGGCCCACTGTAAGCGTTATGGTACCTCTCATGTCAACAACAAATCTGATCTTGGAAAAAACACTTGGTTTAAAAATAAACAAACATGTATTTAAGGGAAAGGGGCATGATGTCATCCCTTCTCTGTCTTTCTCCTTTTGAAGTTGATTTCATCGGTGGCTTTGACTCGTATGGTTACCAGCCTCCTCAGAAGTCCTCCCATCTGCAACTCCAGCCTCTTTACACGTGAGTAATAAATATAACAATATCCGCTTTTCCTCTACTTGATTTTATTGGTGACCATTTTTATTGTAAGGACTACTCCTGTGATTTAGCAGTTTATTCCAAGAAAGACTTGTAATCCCAGTGTGCAACTCCGATCACGTCATCCTCAATGAACTTTTCTTTAAGACCCCTCATCTCCGGTTTGTAGTGCAAATTCTCAAACACACGCCAAAAAACTCCAATGACACTATCGGGTTAATGTTTTTTCAAGCAGCCTCCGGAGCCACGGACAACATAATGTGTCCCGCATGACGGGTAAACCGGACTCGATGTGTGAAATCAACGGAGGGCCTCTTTCATGCCCAAAGCACACTGTAACAGTGATGTCTGTCTTTGCCAACTCCCCCGATCTCTTCCTCTCTGCAACACAGGGCTGGTTAGCTGTCGGCCAGTGCCATCTTCAGGAATAACCCTGACGGTGCCGCGGCGGAGGGAGAGCGGCGGCTGCCTCGATCACACTCACCCTGCGTGTCACAGTTTACCGGAGACATGGACTTACCCCCACCCAGAGGAGGGGGAGGGGGACCCGTGTGCGTGTGTGCATGTGTGCTTGTGTCTGAGAAAGAGAAAATGAAGCCCTGATTAGAATGTATGCTCAGGGATGAACCAGCATGCCGGGTGGTGTGGTACGATGAAGGAGGAGGAGGGGAGATGCAGAGAACCTGAGCTGGGGACACCTCTGTCGATTCACAGAAGACACATCTTCACTAAACTGCCAGCTCTCAACACTTACTCAAGTGTGTGTGTGCGTCTGTGTGTCTGCAATACCACGATTAGGTGGTGGCCCCCTGGACTCTTACCACTCACCGTCCCTGTGGATATTTCTTTTTGGGTGCTTGTGCGCTCGTGTGTGTGTGTGTGTTTGTTTCGGTGTGTGGGGGGGTGACATAATAAATGGAGGCACGGTTCGTACCTGTTGTCGTTTTAGAATGTGGTGATGTCAAACTAGAGCAGTCTTACGATTCCCATTCCCAGAGCCATCTGTCCTTCTTCCCATGAGGTTAAAACCACTGTTTAAAATCAAGCTTTTTACATTATTTTATCATTCACCAAAACCAACAATGCGTTTATGCGTCGCTGAAAACTTCACCATATTTACCAGCTCGTTTGTCTCAAGCCCAAACCAATTCATGAACCGAAAATCTTTTTAAAAAGCTGTCGCAGAAATGTATGTTTATTTCAGAGAAATGTGGAAAGAATTGGGCACTGTGAATTTGAGCAAAAGTCACTAAAACAGTAGTAAATGTTGCTTTTGTTATTATTTTCCATAAGCTGCACTAGTGCTTAGAGAGGAACGTGTATGTGGGATCATCTCAAAATAAACTACAGGGCCATGCTTCATTGGCGTGAGGGAACACATCAGCCAACAACAGAGTGGCTCATAGATGAGGTTTCTTTATTTTTTACTTTGGACAGTAATTCATTTTACTGAGGAATGTGACTGGCTATGGCTTCACAAACACTAATTGTTAGTAGGATTACCACAATAATTTCACGTGATTTGGTGAAAATAATAAAAATGTAGAATACCACCAGACACCCTTAAAGTGTCTGGTGAAATGTTAAAAAATTAAGTTCAATGTGTTTTGCAGGATATTTTGTTTTCAGGAAATAAAGTTCATCCTACCGGTCCTGTATTGCTGTTCACTATGGATGAAGATGGCTTTGGGATCAGGTGTTAGTGTGTCTGTGGGGGTTGAGGGGGATACTGTGCATGTAAATAACCAGCCAATGATTGTTTTGTTGGTTCCACTTAGAAAAGAAGGGGATGCATTAGGAGGGTGGGGGGTTTAGACATAAAAGGTTTTCTTCTTACCTGTTTCTCTTTCTATCTTCTGACCCATCTACAGCTAACTCTCCATCATCTTTCACAAAAACTACATTCACCTTATAGCAGCTCACGTCGATCAAGGGGACCTGAGAGGAACTCCATGTCATGAACAGTAGTTTTTGTCAATGTAATTGGGGAGGGAGAAGGGAGTTAGGTATGAGGTGAATACCTTTCTGGATGTAAGAAAAAGTTTGAAATAAAAAAAATACACTTTCTACGTTAACTATTATTTTGGTTGCCATCTGTAGACACATTTGCCTCACTGGGCTTTTGTAAGTTTTAATAAAAAGAATGCTTTCATTTCTAAATTGCATTACATTATATTAATATCTGTATTATGGAGCACAGAATAACATTTTGGTCAGATTAGTTTGTAAGATTGTATGAAAACATGAATCTGTGGAGTTTGTCATAACAATATGATGAATTGATATAAAAAGACAGCCCAATATTACAAAAAGAATTATACTAAATGGACTTATATTATGTGTGGAGTGCCAAGCGCGAGCTCACTGTAACCTTTCCATCATGATCCCTTTAATGGTATTAAATTGTTACGGTTAACAAAATCATTTCCTAGAATGGTCATCAACCATGAGAAATTAGGACTGCGGGAATCAATGTTACAGAAAAAGGGTTTACTGACTAAAAATCATCATATAATTAGCTATAACTAAATTGTGGCCTAACCATTACACAAAAAAACACTTGTGGTTGGTGACCTTTCATTTCAGACATAGCAACTGTGGTTGAGACGCAACAAAAGCACGCCCTGTTTATTATTATTAACTTTGACTTCATATGCATACTGTATACGTTATACTTTGGACGTTTTAATCCAATATGACAGAATCACACGATTACCATTACCTTGAGATTACCTTGAGGCCTGCCACAATCTCGATGCATTACGTCATCCTCACACCGGACTGGGGGGTCGCCAATCAAAAGGTTTTTTTTGGTTATTTGGACGACACGCTGCTATTTGCACACCGTCCTCTTACATACCCGAGGAGTAACGGAGCGTGCAGCAGCAGCCGCACACTTGCTGACCGTGTGGCGGAGCACGTTGCCATGGCTGCCACGCACCTCGTTACCGTAGAGACCCCGGTACATTGTGCACGGTCAACCCCCCTTGTATATTGGGTATGCATATAACCCCCGCTATATGCATACCCAATATACAAGTATACAACTTCAATGTATTTCCACAGTGTGTTCTACTGCAAGTACCACCAACGTCATATTAAAATATATAAACATTTATGCATATATTGCCATTTAGTTTATATTGTAGGTTTGCGCAGTTTATTTCGTGGACGTCGACACTACGGCTGTGCAGCGAATGCTATTTTTTTTACTCCATTGACAAATAATGTGAATAAAAACTGCACCCCACAATGAAAATAGACAAACACAACAAAGAGATCGGTCCAGTGTGACCCCCCCCCCCCCCCCTTCCCCTCCCCTCCCCTCCCGGTTGGCGCAATGAACCGCACGCTCTCTCTCATGCCTTCCCAGCATGCAGCGCTCTCGCCTGCTCCTCCGTTGAGCCGCCATGTTGTTGGAGTGAAAGGCTGGGGTGTCAAAGAGAAACCGGGGCTGAAATCCGCGTCCATCCTTCCTCTCCGCCGGGGAGTATCACGTCTTCCCGGTTTCGGGAGCGCCGCGCCGTCCTTATCGACGCGTCGGTGCGGGTATCGTAACAATGGCGGCACTGAGAGGGGCTAAACGGCAGTCTTATGAGCCGCAGAGGCGGCTACCTCTGTTCGCTGTCTGCCTCCTTCCTCCCGTTGTGTCGGTCTTCCGCTCCAGACGGCTCTCGGGGCCTTTGTTTAGCATCCCCGCCCCGTCACGGGAACCTGTGGGGCCGCAGGCCCGGCTGACAGGTGGACACCCCGGTGTACTCCTCAATAAGAGGGCGTTGACGTCAGGGCACCATCGTCCCCGTTAAAAACATTACGCGGAGCCCGTGTTTGTCCGCCGGCTCGCCCGGGCTGAGCTTGCGTCGGGAGGCCGTGTTATTGTCGGTAGACACCGGCAGGGAACCCCGTCACAATATCTCGCAGACCGCCGTCTGGTGAACGCAGACTCGTGGGCATAAAACAGCCAGTAGACCGGCGGCGACCTCGTTCACCGAGCTTCCGTTTTGTTGTGTCATGTCTGTCGGGAGGGGGGGAACTGTTCGCTCTGCCTTAAGACACCTAACGTTATCTCCTGCTGGCCGCAGGTCGCCTGCTCGTCTTGTCACACCCCTGCCTGCGCCCGGTATGCGGTGGTTTGATCCCCCGGTATTGAATACCGATCGACCCGGAGACACGGCGCCCGTTGTCGTGTCTCCGGGTTGAAACCTGTAGCCGAACCGTGCCGTGTGCGTTTCGCTCCGGGGAATGGCCACAGTGATGTGGATTTCCGGGTGTTTCTCTACCTGATCTGGAGATGAAGCGGAGGAAATGAGCTATTATCTCCTCCGCGTTGCTCAACGAGGAGCGGAGCAGAAAAAAAACCCCGCACGCATGTGGACGATCCCGTCGCAAGCTGGTTTGTTTTTGTCCCGTTCAGCCGGTCAGCGTGTATTTTTTGTATTTTTATGGCTGTGATGTGTTGAACGTGGGTTTATACATACTTGAGTGAAAGCTGCCAAACGTGTGAGGATTCACTATGTCAGACAGACACTGTTCATTCTAACAGAGGGATTAGAGCTGGCTGGAGAAGGTCAGGTTGTAAAATACAAATGATAACCCTCTGGGACTCTTAGACCACTCAAGGTTTTTTTGGCCATGACCACAGGCGATTGTGTCCTGTGCACATTGCACGTTTCTCTGGTTTATGAGCGCTCACATGTCACTCTGCCCACCACCTTTTCATCCAGGTTATATGACAGGTGCCTTCAGATCGCTAGTTTGTCCTAATCATCTTGGCAAATATAGTCGTTATCCTGCGGTGTGCAAATCCACTGCTACTTTTTAATAATTCCCCTTTACACAAAACAATTAGTTTGAAGTTCAACAGGAATATGTTCTTTAATGTACTGCTGTCGCTTACAGGTAATATTTCTGTACTGATTATTCAAGATCGTGGTCATTCTGAGGACGTAGCTTGCGGTGCTGTAGAATATTATTGTGTTTAACTTACAAGTGATTTTTAATTTGAGTCTACTCTTGCTTATATTTGAGACCCCTCTCAGTAAAACACACAACAAAGCACCACTAAATGTTGTTGTATGTATGTTTTCTTGTTGTGGTATGACATATCAGCTATGACAGTGTGAACTTCTACAATGAGGGGTGATCTGCAACCACCTAACACCCAAAGCTGTGCCTTTACAAGTTTTTGTACCAACCACGTTGCTTTGAAAAGAACATCTTGAACCCGAGAAGTGTAACACATTTGTGACTAACGTGCAGATCTCTGGGGCAAATGGCCAAACTATGTTTAATATATACACTCTCCAAAATGGTCAAAGACGTGCCGGGCGGCAGCAGTAAAAGGATTAGCAGTTGATGAATGTGGTGGTTACTTTCTTTTGATCGCAATGGAAACGTTAACCGAGAACGGGTTGTGTGAGTTTTATTTTGGTTGTCAAGTTGGAAGGGACTACGTTTTCCAGCCATCAGCGAGTCAAAATCACTGTTGTCTGACTGGCGTCTGATGGCTTTGAGGAGAGAATACGAAATGTCTTGCGCTGTATAAAACAACAACAAAAAAAACACCGTACGTTTGCAAACTCCTGTTTATTAGATTTAACACAATTCACTTCAATGCAAATTGCTTCAGAAGACCGTGTTCCATCACTGCTGGAATGAGAAAGAGTGGATAAGTAACAAACTACTGCAGAATTGTTAGTCATTTTTTTCCATTGGGAAATGAGCTATAGACTTTATATATTAATATACGGTGAAACTTTAATCTCTGTGGTCCAGTTAGATATGTTTGGGTGACGCCTCAGAGCGGTAGCGTAAAGTTGACTGCTGGGCAGGTTTTGAGTTGAAACGCCGGCCTGCTCGCTTGGCTTGTGACGGGATCCTGTTCATATCTGTAGCTTCCAGATCTCTCCTCTTCCTTCTGATTATTTTCAATTGGGTAGTTTTAATGGTAGAAAGCCACCCATTTTGCACCTAGAATGCCGGATATATTATGCGATTAATTTCTAGTTTAATGTAGCTGCATCATACAAAATTCAGTACATTTAGTATCACATTAGACTATTTATGTTCCCTTTGATAGGTGCCATTTGTGTTCCATTTGTATTGATTCTGCAAAGTGTTTTTGCAGAATCAATATAGTATTTAGTTTTGAAATATTCAGTCTACCATTACTGATGAGCAGGGAGGAAAAACTCTTAAAAAGGCTATTTGACCTTACTATGATGTGCTTACTTGCTTTATTCCTGTTGGACTGATGTATTCATAGTCGTAGAACAGCAGCACTGGACTCTGATCAGAAACCATTTTTGGATTACGCTCCCTACTTGTTTTACTACATATTTTGTCTTTTGTCAGACTGCCACCACAGTTGTTTTTTGTGCGTTTGTAGCACATGCTTCATAGCTCGTCTTTGTTAGTTATTACAGTAGGAGCTGACATAAGGACTTCAAAAAAGTACATGTGTTATAGCTGAAGAGTTACAAAGATTATTCCGATAACATTAATCTAATTAGTGATTCAGCTATCACAACAGGTTTGCATGCTAAAACCACACTCGCATGCCAGTTTATTAGGTACACAAATACAGTTAATAAAACAGCTCTGCAACAGATTTGTTTGCAATTGTTTATTATTTATTTTTTAGTGCAACGCTAACTTTTGGTCGCTGTGTCAAACTGGTCCGAGCTGATCAAAAAATGTTTGTTAGCTCAATGTATGTTGTCTGTGCTTGCCTGACAGATGTGTTTCCCTCTGCACAGGCTGTGGTGGAATGAGCAGTGTGTGTGTGTTGAAGAGTAAAGCAGTGCTCTGGCAGGATTCATTCAGCCCCCACCATAGAAGTACATCCCCCAGCATGCCCGTGGTGCTGAGCAGCGGAGGACATGCCCCTCCAACAGGGCAGACCCCTCAGGCCGTGCCCCCCAGCCAGCAGGTAAAGCCCACCGCCATAATATCTTAACTTATTTTATTCATTAATTGACAAACATATCTTTTATGTTTGGCTGCACAGTCTGTACTTTTATTTTTTTCCAATTTTATTCAAGGATTGCAGCCATTTAAGTGTCATGTATATTGA